CCCTCCTTTTTTTTTTTTTGGTTCATTGCTAGTGTATTGCATTTTTATATGTTCCTCAAGTCCATAATTTTCCCTGCTCACTGTATGAAAAATTATCAAAGACAATAAAAATAAAAGGAAACAGCACTTTTTGATTTTCATAAAAATATCTCAATAAATACAAAAGTGGAACAAATTCTTAAAATATCTGGCCAGCCAGACTCTTTTGCATTTTTTCCCACCAGCACCAGCTGTTTTTTGCATACCAGCAGAAGGGACATATTTGCAGATTCAGTTTATGGGAGCTTTGTTTATGCACTGGGTGAGGATTAACCACTAATTTTAATTAATGGGGCAAAACCAAGTTCAAAGAAGACAGAAAGTTTGTAAATCTTGTAAGAGCACTAAGTCTGGCTGTGCTTTTAGATGCAGAAAATGTGCTGCACAGAATTTGCCATATTAACATTTTTCCTGAGGTTTACACACTGATCCTTTCTCCATCACTGTTTCACACGGAACCTCTGGATTTAGCGGATCTTTAACTACACCCTTGTGCCTCCCAGCCTTTAGTGTGTCCTCACAATATTTCTGTAAAATGAATATCACTGTTGCCATTTCGGGTGTTCATTGAGCAGGAAACCTGTGAAACAGCAGGCACTTAAACAAAGGGCTTTTTGGAGGTAAATTCTACCCCTGCAAAGTCAATAATGTCAATACAAAAAGAAGGAAATACATATTTTGATGGAAAAAACTGGGATTTTGCAAGAATAAATCATGTCAAACCAATCTAACTTTCCCCTATGGTGGAATAACAAGCCTTGTAGAGACACAAAGCAGGAAATGTTACATATCTTGACTTCAGGAAGGCTTTTGGAAGGGGCAGACACGTTGTTCTTGTGGTGAAACTGAGGAGACAAAGCTCAGCACTGGCTGAGGAGCTTCTCACAAAACTGGTATCACAGTTTTGCAACAAAATGAAAGGACCTGCGGGCTTTTCCTGTGGTCAGTCCTGAGTCTGAAGTTTAATAAATCTCTTCTGAGGGTTTGTCAAAGATTCAGGATGAATGACAGCAAAATTCCCCAAAGGGAGGATGGTCGAGCACCAGATTAACTTCAGGCTTTTCTACACTGGATTCTCCACACATTTTCCCAGTGCAAGTTCGACACTTTGGGGGCAAGGGGGCAGATTCAGTTCAGGTCCCTTTGTGGCTGATGCTGTGTAGCTACAAGATTTAATGCCCTGGAGCAGTTTAATAGGCAAATTACTCATTAGAGATCTGGAATTCAAAATACAAAATTGCAGGTGGAACATTATTAGGCTCCTTTCCACCCTGTTTTCACCCCTTCTTGAAAGGTCACTGGCTCTGTCAGATCACTCTCAGGGCTGGTTTAGAGCTACATCCTTTAAAGCATCACCCAAATAATGGGATCATGAGCTGAGTAACACTGTCCTGAGAAAGGGTTCGGTGAGGTGGGTTGGGTTTGTCTCATGGGCTCCCTGCAGTGTTTTCTAGACTCAGCAGAAAGCCAAGAAATGGAAACAGCAGCCAGTGCTCTAAACTGTGTGGCCAAAGCTGTTCAGGCTCATGGCCCAAGGGTCACACACCAGCTTCCAATCCACCTCTGGGAAATCTGGGGAATCCTTACAGAGACTTCTGTTACCTGCATGATCTGTTAAAAGTCCGAAACTCTATGAACTGCTGGAAAAGGGAAAGGTGGATGGAGGGCTGAAAAGAATCATATGATTTCACAGTCGGGTTCCTGACTGTGGAATACAAATTAGAGCTTCTGCCCTACTCCCTGCCCCTGTTCCAGCAGGGAATACCCACACCCAGCACTCGGGAAGCCACGCACGCAGCTCAGACACGCAGAGACAGGAACCCAGACCCAGCTAAGTAACCAAGAGTAAGCTGAGCTAATGAGTTTAATGAGCTCATACAAAGCAGCTCCATCAGAGAGTCTCTCTTTGATGCCAATTCCCCCGTGGAAGGACTCCTTTCATGTCCCGGGCTACTGTTTAAACCACTGCACCAATTTGCCAGCCCCTGTTAATTTACATCTGTTATTAATGAAGGAGGCAGCATGTGGAGCTGGTGGCAATAAGAAGAATATTTGGTTTCTTTCTTCCTGTCATAGTTTTTTCCTCAAGGTTTGTCTCATCGAGAGGTGACACCAAGGAGGGAAATAAATAACATGAAGTTCTTTCTGGAGCTGGGCACTCCTCTGCTGCAAACAGCAGCAGCTTTTTTAACCTGTACGTTGAGTTTACTCTTCTGTATTGTAAAGTACCTTATAGTGATCTATAAATCTTTTTTGTGGCACCAAGTCTGCATGCTGGTTTCTTTGACAACTTAAATACATAGCTCGTGTTTCCTTTATGAATGATTCCATGAGTTTTTTGATAAAAACTATAGAAAAAGCACCTGTGAGGCCACTGTTAATCAAATTAGAGCCCTTGAAATATTACTTTCTAACATTCAACATTTTAAAGGAGTTTAACAAGCTGTATTTTATCAAACCCCACTGTATCTTTTTCAATGGATTTTATAGAGACTGTCTCACCTGTTTTGCTTCACAAGCCCCAGAATGGGAGTGAGAAGAAAACACACCAAATTTCTCAGGAATCATCCCACAGCTGATTCCAAAGTGGTGGTCTAGAGGTTTTATGGTTGCTCTGTGTAATTTTTACAGGCAGAGTGTTGATGGCACACAGAGGAAGGGGATATATCTAGGAAATGAAGCAACACAATAGAAGATTTAGGGTTTAAGTACCTGGACTATCCCTAAGATCCTATCACTAAATTCAGGTATTTCCTACTGTGTCTAATCCAACCCAGCTGGGGGATGCCACCCACTAGTTCAGAAGTCAGTGTTAAAATTGTTAAACAATGTAAATAACTTGCTGTAATTTTAAAATAAACATAGGCACTGAGCTGTTTTCTCCTCCCTGCCCACAAAGAACCGGCAGCAATTCTTTTACTTCAGTCCTGCAGAAATATTTACTGAGAGTTCTGATTAAAGCATTGCACAGTATTAAACTGCCTGTTTAATATTTTAACATTGTGACTTGCAGAGGATACTATCTGGAATAGGGGTATAGGGGTATCTAGAGGCTTTATAATTAACACAATGAGGTCTCAAATCTGAATGAGACTTCTCAGTGCTCCTAAAGCCAAAGCAATAAATGGTGATTTTACATGATTTCTACCACACAATCCATCAGGAGGGTGAGCAGTGTTGGCCTTCCCGCTCACTTCTGAGCCAATAAATGATGATTTTACATGATTTCTATTGCACAGTCCATCAGGATGGGTGAGCAGTATCGGCCTTCACACTCATTTGTTGAGGTTTCCTTTTGGAAAGGAAACAGAGCCCCAAGGAGGGCTGGCACTGATGTACTTGGTTGTCCTGGACCCCCATAAGGACACGGTGAGTGTGTGTGGTTTGTCTTGTGTTCATACCATAACCAGCTCCAACCACGGCACTGAGGATGTGCCCTTGCCTTGTGCTGCCCCCCTGGACAGACTGGCATTTCCTCCCTTCCCAGACCAAACATATCCACCTCGAGCAATAAAAAATTTATTTCTTAAGCGCTGTAACGTTCATGCAACTGAAACCTTGGTCCTTCCAGGAGTTTTTTGGGTATCCCCAGGCACACCTCCTTGTGTGCCCAGGCTGCACAGCCCAGTGCAGTCACACAGCCAGCCATTCACTGAGTCCCGGGATGGCTGGGGTTGGAGATCACCCAGTCCAAGCCCCTGCCAAGGCAGGGTCACCTGGAGCAGGTGACACAGGAATGTCTCCAGGTGTGTTTGGGATGTCTCCATAGAGGGAGACTCCACACCTTCCCTGTTCCAGTGTTCTGCCATCATCATGGGTGTTCTTCCTCATGTTGAGGTGGAACTTGTTGTGTTTTAGTTTATAGCTGCTGCTCTCACCTTGTCACTGGGCACCACTGGCAAGAGCCTGGCACCATCCTCCTGGCACCCCTTGGACACATTTGTATGGATTGCAGACTCCTTCCCCCTCCCCTGGACACCCGGGGATCACTTCCCTGGCATGCCCCTCAAGGAGGGATGGCAGGGGGTGTGGAGGGGGGGCGTCCCTGTGTGCGCAGCGTGGTCAGCGTGGTGTGGGCAGTGCTGTGGGGTGGTGTGGTCAGTGTGGTCAGCGTGGTGTGGGCAGTGCAGTGAGGCCATGTGGGCAGTGGTCAGTGTGGTGTGGTCAGTGCTGTGGGGTGGTGTGGGCAGTGTGGTCAGCGTGGTGTGGGCAGTGCTGTGGGGTGGTGTGGGCAGTGGTCAGTGTGGTGTGGGCAGTGCTGTGGGGTGGTGTGGTCAGTGTGGTCAGTGTGGTGTGGTCAGTGCTGTGGGGTGGTGTGGGCAGTGTGGTCAGTGTGGTGTGGGCAGTGCTGTGGGGTGGTGTGGGCAGTGTGGTCAGCATGGTGTGGGCAGTGCTGTGGGGTGGTGTGGGCAGTGTGGTCAGTGTGGTGTGGGCAGTGCTGTGGGGTGGTGTGGGCAGTGGTCAGTGTGGTGTGGGCAGTGCTGTGGGGTGGTGTGGGCAGTGTGGTCAGTGTGGTGTGGGCAGTGCTGTGGGGTGGTGTGGTCAGTGTGGTCAGCGTGGTGTGGGCAGTGCTGTGGGGCCGTGTGGGCAGTGGTCAGTGTGGTGTGGGCAGTGCTGTGGGGTGGTGTGGGCAGTGTGGTCAGTGTGGTGTGGGCAGTGCTGTGGGGCGGCGTAGGCAGTGGTCAGTGCGGTCAGGCCGGTGCGGGCAGTGCTGTCGGGGCCGGCTCTGAGGGCAGTGGTCTCGGTGCCGGCTGTGTCCCTGCCCCGTCCCCTGTCGGTGCCGGCTGTGTCCCCGCTCGGTCCCTGCCGGTGCCGGCCCCGTCCCTGCCCGGTCGCTGTCGGGGCCGCGCTCCGTGCGCGCCCCCCCTGCGGGCGGCGGGGGCGGGCGCGGCCGGGCCGCGCTGATCGCAGCGCGCCATTGGCCGCTGTCTGCGCGCACGTCACGATCATGATGAGAATTAATGATCGGGGCCGCTGATTTCATTGTGTGACGCCGGGACCGACCCAGCCGAGCCCGGCCGAGCCCGGAGCCCCCGCGCCGGCCCCGCGCTGCACGGTAAGCGCGGGGGGCTCCCCGCGGGAGGGGCGCGAGCGGGGCCCCCCCGGCGGGAGGGGCGCAGCGGGCGGGCGGGGAGGAGGAAGGAGATGCTGATGATGGTGGTGATGCTGGTTATGATGATGATGATGATGATGATGATGATGATGCCGATCTCCCCCCCTCCCGGGCCCGGCGGTGGGGGGGGGGGGGTGAGGGGGGCGGCCGCGCGAGCTCGCGCGCGCGGACCCGCCCGGCGCGCGCAGGCGCCGCTGAGCCTCCCCCCACACACACCGCGGGGGGGCCGCGCCGGGCACGCGCCGGGACCCGCCGCCGCCGCGGGACTGCGCCTGCGCTTGCGCCCGCGCGCCCCGGTGGAGCACCCAGTGCGCCTGCGCCGGCCGAGGCCGTACTGCGCGTGCGCGGCGGGCCGGTCAGCGGCGGCTCAGCCCCCTCCTCGGAGCTATGGGCTTCGGTCACTGGGCCCTCAGCGCCTTCAGGCGTCCTCAGTCCCCTGTGCCTCGGTCACAGAATCATTTAGGCTGGAAAACATCGCTGAGATCATGGAGTCCACCCTATGCCCGATCCCCACCTTGTCACCCAGCCCAGAGCACTGAGTGCCACGTCTGGGTGTTCCTTGGGCACTTCCAGGGTGGGGACTCCCACCACCTCCCTTCCAATATCTGGCAACTTCTTCACCTCTTCTATGAAGAAGTTCTTCCTGATGTCCAACTTGAACCTCCCATGGCACACTTAGGACCATGTGCTGTCATCTTGTCACTAGTTGCCTCAGTCCCCGGTGCCTTAGCCCTTCAGCCCTTCATTGTCCCCGGTGCCTCAGTTCTCTGTTGGCCCTTCCCCATACCCTGGGTCCTGCTCACCCCCCATCACTGCAGGCACCCCCCGAGGCAGGGATGGTTCCCCTGGGTGCCGTGGGGATGGTTGGGGACAGGAAGGACAGCCATCACTGTTGACTCATGGTGTGAGGCTGAGGGGCCACAGTGGTGGACAGGCAGGGGGCAGCTGGGTGGCCACCAGACATCCTAGATCTTGTTCCCTCTGAGGCTCTTCTAAATTTCTCCAAGGGGTGCCAAGAGAATGGTGCCAGGCTCTTCTCAGTGGTGCCCAGCAACAGGACAAGGAGCAATAGCAGAAAACTAAAACACAGCAAGTTCCACCTCAACATGAGTAAGAACTTCTTTATGTTGAGGGTGGCAGAGCACTGGAACAGCTGCCCAGAAAGGGTGTGGAGTCTCCCTCTCTGGAGACATTCCAAACCCACCTGGACACAGTCCTATGCCACCTGTGCCAGGTGACCTGCCTGGGCAGGGGGGTTGACCTGGATGATCTCCAGAGGTCCCTTCCAACTCCAGCTGTTCTGTGATTCCACCTCTCAAATGCATATGTGGCTGCTCCATCCCTGGAAGTGTCCAAGGCCAGGTTGGACAGGGCCTGGAGCAACCTGGTCTAGTGGAAGGTGTCCCTGCCCAGGGCAGGGGGTGGAAGGAGATGGACTTTAAGGTCCTTTCCAACCCAAACCATTCTGTAATTCCATGATATCGGCCTGTTGTGGTGCCAGGCACAGCCTGTGTGTGGTGTGAACAGGGGGGCCTTGTGCTGCCAGACTTTACTCCTCAGATGTTTGGGGATGAGGGGGAAGAAGTTGGCTGTGCTGTTCTGGAGGGATGGTGGTGCCCTGGAAGTGCTTGTGGAGCACTTTCCTGCCCCAGGCAATCCCCAACCCTGTCTCCTGCCCTCTGTTAGCCTGGGGCTTCTGATCCTATAGGTAAGATCTGATACTATGGGTAAGATCACACATAACTAACCGAAGTAGTTTTATGTCCTCCAAACTGGAGTCCTGAAGCAGCTCACACCTTCACAGTAACACAGCATTTTAGTATCCCTTTTTCCTGGCACAGGTCTTACAAACACGTACATGCTCTATTTAAAACATGTGGTTAATCCAGCTGCAGTCAGGAGTCTCATTTGCATCAGTCAAGTGGGATGGGGATGCATAAACCTGTGGAGTTGTGGTCATGGGTTATTATGTTATTAAGTTACTGAGGGCTGTCTAATTTGTCCCTAATAAAGGGCTGCATTTTATAGGTAGGACTGTAATACAATCCTACAAATGCTGTACTTAGTGGAGAGGGAAGCAATTATGCTGCGAGTCACGGATATTTAGAAGTAGTTTTACAAGCTGGGCTGTACATTGCACGTACCCAGCCATCAGCCTCACCCACTGCACTGGGAGCGTGTGGCTCTGACTGGTCTGGCCTGTGTAGGAAAGAGGCACCAACCTGCCAATTCAGATTATTAAACCTTGTTGCTTGATGTGTATCCAGTATCCCCACGCATTGCAGGGTTGGTTGGTTGGTTGTTTTCTTTCCGCTGGGGATGTACAAGAAATGGTGAGGTTTTGGCAGCTGTGGGAAGTGAATGAGGTTCCTAAAGCTGGAGGAATAGTGTCACTACTGCAGTCTTGTTTAATTTATGTCTGGAGTACATTTCTTATCATAGTTCCAGTTTTGTCTCAGATTTATATTGGCACTGAGACTTGTTGGTTTTTACCACAAGAGATTGTGGAGGGAAGAGAAAAAAAGATAAATAGAGGAGTGTGCTGATTTTCTTGTTATACCTGTTATGGATGGAGAGACTAAAACAGAAATAGGCTTTGCAAGATGACTTTTTTATAAATAAATACTTGTTTGGTGCTGAAGTTAAAAAAGAAAACTCTCAGAAACTGCTTGTTCCCTTTTATCACTCTGTGTTAATCTCTGACAGTTTTATTATGTTTTATACCATGAAGATTTTCATACTTAGTTACTTTGTGGTGGCTTGTGTTCTGAGTGAATTATTTATTATTTATCACATCCAAGACTATTTTTTGTTGCTGTTTAAAATGACTGTAGTTGGAGATTTTATTTCCTATTTTCAAATTAAATGCTATTAATGGAGTGTTCTGTAGAGATTTACTTTGTAAAAGTTTACTTGGTTCAGCAGTCTTAGTATTTAGATACTTTTGGACACTGAGATTATACTGCTGTACTTGTAGGCAGACTTTTTTTCCTTCTTATGCTACTTCTTTATTTTTGTCCCTTTTTTTGCCCCCAGATTTTTCAAGTCATTCCAGAACAGTTAAGTAACTCTTGAATTATTTGATTACATGATTATTCCCATTTTCTTTCAGTTGTTCTTTCTTTTGTCTTACTCCTTGACATCAAGTTGTTTCCATTAGTTGCTAAAAATGTATGACCTGCCTTCACCAGGTCTCCCTGGAGAGATTCCTAATTTCTGGCTGTTGAATAAAGTAACTGGGGTGGAAGGACTGGGCATTTGCAGCAAACCCTGTGGGACAATACCCTGAGTGCCTGTTCCGTGAAGGAAATGTTCAGGAGCAAACTCTGCTTTAGGTCTCCGTGTTCTCCTCTTTCCACTCCTGCTGGCTCTTCCCAGAGGAGGGAAGGAAGGATGATACTGTGAAGAAGTTGCTTAAACAGCTTAAGAAGCCTGAAAAAGTTCAGCTGTAAGAACAACCTTAATGTCACCTGACAAGGAGCCGCTGTGACAGTCACAGGGTGTCTGTGGAATTGTCCTTGGGACAAACTGAAGGGCAGGGAGTTCCCATCTTTGACCTTGTCACTGATCACTCTGGGATCTCCCACATGTCACAGTCCCTGCTTAACACTACATTTACATCTCCTAAACCACCACACATATCAGAGGATCTTACCATGCTAAGTTTTTTAATTAGTATTCAGTTTAGAAAGGGAATGAAGAACATCTTCATTCTGTCGGGTTCACTGTAGGTTGAGGAGTGGGAGACCCCCAAAGCGAAGAGTTACATGACATTAGCTGGCCTAGGACACATCCCAGGGGTGAAGGTGCTTTTTCATTTGTCACAGGTTATTCTCTGCACTGTCAAGACTGCAAAACACTTGGCCAAGGCTGCTTTATTTTGCTAGAACAGGCAGATGTTGAATCCTTAAGTACTGCTTTGCCACCTCTGTCTTTTATTGATGTGAAAATGCAGCTTACAGTCATGGAATTTGTTTGCATAATGCTTTGCCTGATTTTTATTAAATTTCACGGAGTTCTTTTCTGTAACAAATTTTCTTTTCAGTGCCAATGTGTTGCCAACCAGCTGGACACCCGGCTTCCCAAAAGCTCACATGCATGTTTGCTAAGCTTGGCAAGTCAAGATCAAAATGAAATTATGATAAAAATCCATGTGGATTTCTAACTTGGAGTCTGAGGTTCAAGACAAAGGTGAGAAATCCTGAGGCTGGAGTGCTCTGTAGGTGCACAAACTGGGAAAAGGAGTTTGTTTCCTTAGAAGTTACTGAGGTTGTTTTGAATAATGTCTGTGATGAAGGAGTGTGACCTGCTGATTCCCTTGGTACTGATGTGACTACCTTAATGTTCAGTAATTTTAGCACTTTTTAAGTGATTTTCTGTGTTGGAGAAAATGTAAGACTCAATGTCTTGTTCTAACTACAAAATCTGATGCTAAATAGGTAATACTGCCAAAAAAAATAACCAGTGTAATCCTTTGATGAATATACCCTGTGTTAATTTGTCTCAGAGACAGTAACATTATGTTCTCACAGATGTTTGAGTGCTCAATGTGGGTCAGTTCCCAGGTGTGAGCAGAACTTGTTGCCTGTGAAGGTGGGACATGCAGAGGCAGCTCTTCATTGATTACCTCTGGACTTCATGGTGTTCTAATGGAGCTTCCAAACATCCAGGAATTGGTTTATTCAACGTAGGGTACTGCTTTAGATATTCAAAATAAGCACTGAAGAATTGCTGATAGCAAACTGATTTCCAGCTGGACTTTAAAGGTGATGTAATATCAGTGAACTTTGCACCTGCCAGAGACAGAGTATTACCAAACATCCTACACACTGGTGTGAAATTAGTGGGAAATGGTCCAGAACTGTCTATTGATTTAGGATTCAGTATATCTAAGACACAAAATGCTTTAATAAATTCTCACCTGCTTAATTGAAGGTTTAGATGTTGGAATGTAAACTGAAGTTATGACTCAGCCACCATAACTCCGTGTCTGTAGGATCCTGTAATTTAGTTATTTAAATCACTTTCTGATGGCCTCTCACAGATGCCCTGAGCTGGACTCAGCTGGGTTCAAGGCAGAGGGTACTCAGGACTCTTCCCAGTTGGCAGGTGTAGCTCACAAGTGATTAAAATACACTGCAAAAATGAGTTATTAAACCAGACCATGACCTCTCTGGAGCTTAGCTGGGCCAAGCCTGTCAGACAGTTTATCTGAAGTTCAAGTGATTTAATCAAAATGCTCTACCCTGTCTTTATCTAAATTACAAATGTCAAATGCAACAATGAAAGTGTTTTAACATAGAAGTGACCTTGGATACAGGAATCCCCATAATTAAAAACGTGTCAAGGACCTGTCACACATCTTCCCTCGCAGGTCATCAGGTCTGACTCTAAAAATTTATCTTGCAATGGAAAGAGTCTTCACTGGAGTTGATGAACTATTTGGAGAGCATGATGTGATGAGCCTGTGGATGGAAGTGCTGAGCTTTGGGATGACACAGCTGGATCTGGGAACGTGGAAGGTTCATAACTATTTCTGATGAGGTCGTTTGTGGGAACTGAGCTCCACTAAATAGAACAGGACCTCTGGTACTGAAAGAGGAGTAGCCAGAAGTGGAAGCTGGGCCCTGCCAATTGTGCAAGAACCACAAAACTGCCTCTTGTGTGTCCTTTAGAAGGGACATAAATCAGTCAGTGGCCATGTCACCGTGTGTATCCATGTGGGACATCTGAAGGCAGTTCCCAACATTATAGAGTAGATTATTATGAACTTTATTGATTTGTTAATGGACTAATAATTGTCTCCTCTGTTACTTGCTATAAATTTCTTTAAACAGTAGATTATTCAGAGCCAGAGTCTCCCTTGCCCAGCTCTGGCTGTGGCTGAATACCTGTTCTGGGGGAGGCAGAACTCAGGCAAAGCCTGATTTGTCATGTAGCTGGTGGTGCTGCATTTAATAATGCACTGCATTGAGAGGGTGATCAGGAGTTGGGAACAGAGGCAAAAGAGATGACTGAAAAATCATCTTCTGTTTTAACTATTATTTCAAAGAAACGGTAATTTTTACAAATTGATTTTTCTATTGTCTGTTGACATAGAGAGGAAAGTAAACTCTGAAGTCACAGCTCTGGCCTACAAGCATTTTACTCCAAATTCTAGATATTAATCTTTTTTCTTTATACAGGCCTGTTGAACTCTAACATCCATTACCATTACATAGTGTAATCATCTTGGAGAATAATATGAAAGCAGTTGGGTGTCTGCTCAAGCTTTTGAGCCTTTAATAATTTTATTTGCTCTATATCAGACAGCAGTTCTTGTACAAAGATTAGGTCTATCACCACGCTCCTTTCCGTTGAGTGTTTTCAAAAAAAGCTTAGTGGCTGCAAGGGGTTCCCTCATACCCTTTATTTCCCTGCAGGATGATGGTGAGGTTTCTTATTCTTTAGTTTGTTCTGCATTATTATGATACATGTACTGTATTAAAGTGACAATTTTGCTTCCCAGGGCACAAAGTTGGATGCAGGTTGTTCCTGGCCAGCACTTGCTGTGTTTTGTTTAGGACAAATAAAGGCCTTGTTCTGGAAATTGGTGATGATTGGGATCTTCTTTCTGATCTCTAACCACAGGATTATATTTTTTGCTTGTAGCAAGAACATAAAGCTCCAGTTTGCCCTCAGGAGTCTGTTCTGCACTTGGTCATATTCAGCTGTGTGCTTTACCAAGCCAGGGTGTGAGTTGTCACGTGTAACAAAGCCATATGTGGTTTAATGTGTCCATCAAACTGCTGCCCTGTCCTGGGCCACCTCCTGTCCCCAGGAACAGCGAGATTCTTGGAGGGACCCAGTGCTGGGAATGGGACTGAGGAATTGCTGCTGGCCCTGGAGGAGCCTGGGGCTGATCCTGGTTGAGTTCCTCAGCACCACTGTGGACAACCAAGGAGCAGGAACACATCCTGAGGTCCTGCAGTCAGCATTGGCTCATACCCCTGGAAAACAACCCTTACATGTTCTTAAAAATCCTGATTTCCAGCCTCAGGGTGCAGTTCCACAGGAGCTGGACCTTTCCCAGCCCAGGCTGTGACACGGGCTGTCCCTCCTCTGTTCCTCTGCAGTGTTTGCATTGGGTGGCTCCAGAGCTGCCTAAAGCCCTTCCTGGGGGTGTTTTGCCCCAAGTTGGTCTCCAGTTCTTGATCTTTGTGACTTTGCAGCTGGAGGTGCTGGTGCTGACACGGCAGAAGGACCAGCCATCACAGAGGGTAGGATTTGATGAAGGTGGAGACCGTGGAAACTTCACTCCTGTCAAGCAGTCACTTTTATTTTATCTCGGATTTTGTCTCTTTTTTTGGTAGGTGAGGAGAAACCTGCTGATATTGGATATGCTGATGTTACTCTGTTTTGCCTAATGCCTTTATTTTATTTTTTTTAAGGGAGAAACTTTTTCTTTGAAACTAGAGCCTCATGGACTTAACAACACAATGTAATATTTATTTATTTATGAAAAGCTGTCAGTGTTGTTGCAGACTTATAATTCACCTGCTCAGCTTCAGTCTGTCACAAAGGAATCACTAATGCTGACTGTAACAGATTTTTTTTTTTAGAAAGTAAGTAAAAGCATTGGTGAAAGATTCTGTAGAGAAAACATGTCAACCCTTAGTGTTATCACAGGTATAAATGAGAGGCTGTGTATTCTGCAAGTCTTACAGTTTTTATTCCAACTTTCAGAGTATCTTCTTTTATTTCCAGATGAATCTGCGTTCTGTATTTACTGTAGAACAACAAAGGATATTGCAGCGTTATTATGAAAATGGAATGACAAATCAAAGTAAAAATTGCTTTCAGCTCATATTACAGTGTGCACAGGAAACAAAACTGGACTTCAGTGTGGTCAGGGTGAGTACTGAGGCCTTCCAAATTTGTTTGTTAAACTTGTACACATTTATTGCTTTACATAAAATATTTAGAGATGTGGAATCTCTTAACTCCATCACTGCCTTAAATCAGGCTTCAGTGTGTGTATGTGACATGTTCATTTTTATAGTTTGTTTTCACTGGAATGTCTTCACATGATTGTTGTATTTAGCAGGGGCCTGGTTGCACAAGGAGTAATTTTTGTTTGTCTTTTGCTGGGATTTTTTAAATTAGTCTTTAATAAATTACAAATTAGTTTGCCCTGTACAAACTTTGTGCAATGTATTGTATGAAAGCAAGAAGCAAGGTCATGTTATTAAGAGACTGTTCTTAAGCTAAAGAAGTTTCTATAACCTCATGTATTTGGAGGAATAATTGTGGAACTATTTCTTTCTCTGTCACACTTGTATTCCACATCACAATCATAAATATTGTGATCCCTCATGGCTATTTACAGTGAGGACATTCTTTTCTTATAAAACAAGAATGTCACCAGGGCTAACAGGAGCTCTTCCAAAGTCTATGAATTCCACAGGAAGGGAAATAATAATCCCTTTGTGAAACACTAGACACAAAATGGCTCTTGGCCGAGAGCAGAAATAGAAATCATGAACCATTAGCTGAAAAAATAACAAGGGCAGTGCAGCTCCCAGGAGCTGCTGCAACACTGGACACTGAGGAGGAAGAAGAAGTGAGACCAGTCTGGGTTGTTTTTTATTTGGTTTACCAGTGATATATCGACAACAACAACCCTTCCTGCTCCCTGATTATTACCTGGATTCTCCTCCCTCACAATAGTCTGGAAACATTAAAACTGTCCTTCTGAGCTCTTGGTGGTGGGAAGCTGTGAAAGTCAGCCAGGGATTGAGGCTCCTGGAACAGGCAGACAGTTGTAACAGGAATCTGGATGCTGATGGTGCACTCAGGGCCTGCTCTGCTATTTTTATGCTGATTGAATGTCCTGGAGGAGGCAGCCAGTCTCTCCTCTCTGGGCAGTCCTCCTGCACTCTCCAGATTTCCTTTCCCTCTCAGTTTCCCTTCCTGCAGTAAAGTATCAGGGCCTTTTTCCTTCAGTTTTATTCCCTTACTGAGCCCTGATTTGCAACCCTTAGAACTTGTGAAGGGCTTTTTTGCCACTTGTGAAGTGCAGTCGAAACGGACCCAGTGTTTGTCCTGCATTTATCATATTTTTGCATGATCTTACCTTTCTCTTCTTTACACCCCTCCTTCCTTCCTTCCTCTCTTAATTCCCCCTTTTTTCCTTTTTTTTTTTCCTGCAAAACTCTTGGTCAGTGACTAGTTCTCCTTTGTACAACGTCCAGCAAAATGATACTTGGGTTCCAGCTGGCACTTGAAGATATGATTGTAATAGGAACATGAATTCCCTAAATGCAACTTATACTTCAAATATCATAACTCCACGAATGCATTCTTTCCCAGAATCAGGGTTTCTGCCATCTCATCCCATTGAACTGCATACAGTCTTTCCAGTCTTGAGCTGGGTTGGAAAGAAAGAAAAGTCCTATTTTCCCATTTATCATTTGGTGTAAACCTCTACAGATCTTAATCCTGCAATACATAAAATCTATTCTCCCTTGCAAAATTAGGAAATCTGAAGAGTATTTGTAATCTTTCCAGTCTCCAAGATGGCAAATACTTTGTCTCCTCTCTTCCTTCTTGTGTTCATCATCTGTGGCTTTATTAAGTTTCAGTGTAACCCAGGTAATCTTGCTAACCTTACCTAAGCCTTTGTTCTTTTTTTTTTGTTTTGCCAATTCACTTTTAAGCCTTTTGGGGGAGTTCAGGTGGGTGTTTTGGATAAATGATGGGAGTAAGAACTGGGAACACGGTCAGGAGGACTCTCAGCAGAGTCAAATCTGACTTGTGCTGTCTCATGAAACTGTGTTTTATTATTAGTGCTATTAAGGTATTTGCATTTCTTAGAAAGCATTTATTTTCAGGAAAACTGTAAGGAAAACGTTCATATTTTAGTTCTGTACAGTTGGAAAAGTTAGGGATGAAATCTCTTTTCCTGGTCCAAAATTTGCAGTGTCTCCATTCAATTGTAATTTCTCTCTTGAAAGTTTACTGACAGAGCAGAAATTTTAAAAAAAGTAAAATTTAATCTTCTAAATCTGTTTTATACAGTAAAGGAAAATAACTTGAGGTCTGTGGCTATAAATTCTGTTTTTAAATTGGTTTTTAAGGAGAAAAATGTCATCACTAGTAGCTCAGATTTTACTGCATGTAGCAAATTGTGCCTCAAATTAGACATTTTGCAAAATTTGACACGCTTTCCCATCTGCTTCAAACCACAGCACATTTCAACCTGTGCACAACTGCCACAGTACCTGCATTTCTCAAATATTTTTTCCTCTCCTATCTATTACACAAAATCATATACTGTCATTGTTACTGTCAGGAATGTCCATAATGGCAAATTTCAGTTGGAATCTAATCCCTGTAGTCCTGATCTTGTCTATCAGTGTCTTTCAAAAGCAGGTTTTGACCTCAGATCTTGATTTTTGCGGCTGGCAGAGGAGGAATTAGCCCATAGGTCTGAGTACTTCACAAAATTGTTTTCTTCTTTTTCTTCCTCCCCTCCTAATTCCAGAATTGGCACCTTCTGTTCGAGGCAGATTTGAAGGTCATATCTCTCAGTTATTGGGTTACAAAAGTTTAGCTCCATACCAGAGTGATGGCTCTGCAATCTAAGGTGCTGAACATTAAAAACTTAAATTTGGGGGGATTAGTCACAGTGGTGACAATGAAACACATCTTGACGGTAATTTTGGGAGAGGAGGCATGATACAGCATCAGGATTTTTGAGAAACTGGGGCTTTGGCATTGAGACTGGGCTTCTCCTGTGTATTAGTGTGTGGATCCCAAGCAGGAGGGGCCTGGATTTCCACTCTGTGTTGTTCAGGCCTGGATTTCCACCCTGTATTGTTCAGACTCTGCATAATCAGTCGATGATTTACATATTTCTCAACTTAGGTCACAACTTGAACACTTAACATCTCACCAGACCTGCTTCAAAACGGAATTGCCTGATTTTTGTGAGTCTTTAATGCCTCGTTTTGTGTTTGCTGTTGTTGTTTGCAGACGTGGGTTGGCAATAAAAGGAGGAAGATGAGCAGCAAGAGCGCGGTGGAATCCGGAGGGACCCCCCCGGGGACGGCCCCTGCCACTCCCTCAGTGCCCCCAGAAGTTCGGAACGTGGTCAATATTGCCCGATCCCACAGCCAGCAATCCTCCTGGACCTCTTCTAATAATGATGTGATAGTGACTGGGATTTACAGCCCTGCCACCTCCTCGGGCAGGCAGGGATCCACCAAACACACCAACGCTTCCATGGCAGAGATGCACAAAACCTCCATCCCGAGGCTCCCGGGGAAAGGCAATGCGGAGTTCCAGCAGCAGCACATCCCTCTAGGACGACAAGTACCACACTGTAAAAATGCTTCCCTATTAGTAGGGGAAAAGACCATTATTTTATCCAGGCAGACGAGCGTGCTCAATTCTGCAAACTCCATTTACAGCCACACGAAGAAAAGCTACGGCGGCTCCTCGGTGCAGACGGCGGAGCTGGTGTTACCTCAGAAACCCATGATATGCCACAGGCCCTGCAAGGCTGAGCCCGTGGGCTGTCACAGGTCACATAAACCGGAGCACGTGGCTCTGGCATCGCACGTGCCCCACGGGCAGAGGGCTCACCCCAGGGACCCTGCCTGTAGCACCCAGAACCTGGAGATCCGCGAGGTGTTCTCCCTGGCGGTGACGGACCAGCCCCAGAGGATGGTGGCGGGAAGCACAACGCAGAAACATTCCTCTCTGGAGGGCAGCTGCCTGTCCATCGCCATGGAGACGGGGGACGTGGAGGACGAGTACGCCAGGGAGGAGGAGCTGGCATCCATGGGAGCACAAATCCAGAGCTACTCCAGATACTGTGAGAGCAGCAGCTCTGCTCGAGTGGAGAACCAAAGCGCAGCCGTGTCGGGGCCGGGCCGCAGCGGGGGCTGTGGGGCACAGGGGGGCAGTGCCAGGGACCTGCCTGACAGTGTTCTCTACCACAGCAGAGATTACCACCTCCCTGCACGGACCTCACTGCACAGCACAGCCAGCACAATGTACAGCGGTGCTAATGCATCCAGGAGTACCTTTTCTCCTCATTTTACATCTTCAAGTCAACTGAGGCTGTCACAAAACCAAAATAATTACCAGGTAATCCATCAGTTTATCTCTGTCTTCAAACCTTGAAGCCAAGGTTGTAGATAAATACTATATACAAATATAATGTAGATAAATGTTATCTCTCAAAGCTGGTGGCTGCTAAGCAATAGGTTCACCTTTCTGCAGGCTTCTACACCTTTCGGTGGAGATAGTTCCTTCTCAAACACAGTGCAGGCAGCACTGCAGGCTGGTGCCACTCTTACCTGTCCAGCTGAGCCCCTGGTAGCTGTATACTGAAGATCAGTGAGGGGTTCATCAATTCAACAGCTAAATTTTGGGTGCAGGAGGGTCATACCCACGAGCTGATGCTCAAACCTGAGCCAGCAATACCCCGGGCTGTTCTGTGTGCACACACATCACACGTGGCACAAGAACATGGGATGCAGTTGCTCACCCTCATTGATGTCAGCTTGGATTCCTGTACCCCCTGTGCAGGTGCCAGTCTCCTGGAGCTGTGTCTGTGAGGGATTAAGATCTCCTGTGAAGAGTTAACATGATGGGACACACTCAGGGAGCAAATATTCATCCTTTCCCGCAGTGTCTAATTCCAGTAGCAGTTTTACATTCAACCCCTTTATTCCTCACCCTGTATGAAAGTCCCTTTAGTGATCCTGAGGGGAAAATTAAATGCAGATAATTGAAGAAGTAAAAGATGTTCAGAAGAAACTGCAACACTTGACACATTTTTTTTTATTATTTGTTATTACTAGGGGAGAGAGAGTTGTGCAGAAAACATCCAAATTGGTATTTTTCATGGATTTTTATGTCATGTGGCATGACATAGCCTAGAGACACTGAGATAAAAGTCTTTTAAGGCTGGCAGGATGTGGTCCTGCATGTCTTACCTTCATGCATTGGCTTGTTATTGCCTTTTTAATTTATCCTGAAAATGAACCATGTCAGCACCATACCAGCTTTTCCTGTGCTTTGCTCAGTGGGATAAGGGAGCAAGACTTTGCGGAGTGCTTTTTATTTTTTATTTCCTTTTTTCCTGACTTGTTCCTGTCTCATGTGAGGCTGTGAAAGAAAGCTCTTGAATCCGAGTAAGTGCCACTTTTCACCCAAATTATTGCTTTTCTTGTTAAACCTGAGGTTTGATGAACAGAGATACTCTGGAGTGAATTCTGCGGAGTAGGTGGGACATCAGACAAGCTGTTCTTCCCTTTCTCCCTTCTCTCACTTAGGCTGTCAATGTTTGCTGTTATGCTCTTACTTGAGTTGTAAAATTCATGAAATGCTGTTTTCTTTTGACATCCCAGTTTCATAGGAAAGGAAGGGCTGTAAATGTGCAGATTTGTCCAGTGAAGGGCTGGTAGAAGTGCTTACGGTCAAGTTAAGGACATTTTTCTAAAGTTTCATGAAGTGAAATCCATTAGTGACACCTCCAGCTCTGTGCTCATGGAGCTTATTTCACTTTTGAAAAAACATCAGAGAGATTTATTTCCTCTGTTTTTATTTTTTTTTATGAAATTTGGAATAACTTTGATTTTTTTGGGGCAGGGATGGTCTTTTTAAACAGATGAAACAGTTCATGGTAGGTGACATTTTATCCATCTGGGTGGTGTGATATAGATCAGAACAAGATCTCTATAACTGTTTTTAGGTTTTTCTTTTACTTCACCCCTGTTATAATAATGTACCTATTTTTTTGAGAACTGAATTAATCTGTACTTGTTTGACCTCCCTGTCTCCTCAGGGACCTTGTTCTTTGGATTTGGGAATGCAACTTATATGGAGGGAGCTTTTTTTCTTTTTCCCATCATATCCCTTTTCATTCTGGAGTTTTAAATCTTGGAAAACCTGAACAGGTTGCTATTAATTCCCTTATTGCTGTGAGCAGGCACCCTGTGAACCTCCTGGCTATTAGAGATTTCATAAGGTGCTGTCTGAATCCTTTTCTTGTAGTCAGTTCATGTTCATTTTATTGCCCATGTTTAGCTAATTTATCCAGCAGCATAGGAATGAAAATCCTTAAACTTGGGGAGATCTTCCTGAATTTAAAAATAGATTAAACTTGAGCTAAATAATTATTGCACTAGTTGGAACATCCAAGCAGATGCTTCTTCAAAGTCAGGACTGTGTGATTTGTGTTTTGATGAAGTAATTACTGTCGTGTATTGGTGAGGTATCTAATTAGCAATTAGTTATAGCTTCCTTACTGGTTCAATTAATCAAATTCATGTTAGTGTAACTTAAGACTAAATTTAATTAAGTGATCAATTTTAATGCCTGAGCAGTTTCAGTAAACAAATTGTTCAACCTTCTTCCTTGTCTTAGTTTGACTTTTAAGTGTGTAGAAGTAGAGAGGCTGTTTGTGCTGTCCTTGAGGCTGAATTGGGGTTTAGTCTTGCTTTCTTCCCCCTCCCAAGGGGACAAAAATACTGTTGAAGATGTGTATTTTTAATTACTTTGTTATAAACACTGAAACACAGTATCTAATTTAACCCTATCTACTTTAAGAGAGCATCCAAAGCCTTTCAGTCAGAAAAGATTATGCAGGTATATATATATTTATTTAATTATAGAGTTGGCTTCAAGGATGCTGCTTTGTAGAATGAGTGGGGAGAACCTGTGAGGTTCCTGCAAAAACACCACATGTGGCCCCAAGCAGTGCTGGGACACAGCAACCAGCTCCTGGTTTGGTCCAGTGCACTGAATTTGGGATATAAAATCTACAGGTGAATTGGGAAAAGATTCTGTAGTGTTCTGTATAGTGTAACCCCTTTGATGAAGGGACAGCTCGAGGGCTGCAGCACCTCTGAGTGTCTCTGGCAGATCTGCAGTTTCTGAGGCACGATCTCTGAGTCAAGCATTTCAGGTCGTCACTTTTGTAGGTGTCCCAGTTGGACCAGGACCGGAGTTATGCCTGTGGATGCAGAATAATGATCCATCTCACTCTAAAAATACACACATTCCCCCCCCAAAAAAAACCCTAACTCCAACCCTTCTGCCTTTTTTCATCACAACACTTTAGAATTCTGCCATGCACGTTGTCTTTCAGGCAGTTCTGCTGAGATGAACTTGACTGTATGTGGCCTCTTACCTGTCAGAACCTGTGTGCATTTGTCTTCCTGGCAACCCTTAATGCTCTGCCAGGCTGAGTTTGCTTTATTCACACAGAAAAGCACCTTTTCTTTGTAGCCCCAGTTGAAATTTGTGAAGAGGAGCCACCTGGGTGGATGCTCAGGGTGCCTTTACAGTGGATTCTGTGGTGTGAAGCTGTTGTGTGGGGTATGGGATAGTAATAGATGTAACAAGTTTATACAGAGTTTATGACATGTGTGTGCAGTGAAGAAATTAATATTTTAGCCTTAAAATCTGATGCAGATTTGCTCTTAGGAGGGCATGGTGCTCATTTCTACCCCCATCAACCCACCCTGTGCTGTAATGAGAAAGTGTCTGACCTTGGGCAACCTCCAAGTGCTTCCAGCTGAAAGCTTGAAGAATAAAAGTGTCTTGTGTGCTTGTACCCCAGCCAGCTGTCCCAGGGATGGTGGTTTGGTTGTGCTCATGCTGCAGGAGTCATCAGGAGAGCACCTTGCAAGTATAAAAACTATTAGTGGAGTTTGGCTCAGGCAGCAGAACCACACAGGTTTTTCTTCCTCAGATTGCAGATACAACTTGAGATGTATTAATGTAAGAGCTGTGTTTAGTGTCTCAAGCATTGCTTGTCTGCAGCAAAGATGAACATGGAATCCTAAATAAGCCTAAAATATTCCAGGCTGTGACACATTTCAGAGGGCCAGGGAAAACAGTCCGAGATTATTATTTAATAATGTCTGACCTCTGGGAGTGATGGGGAAGCAATGGAAATTGAGGCAGCTAACCTTTGCCTTCACACCCCTTCTCTTTCCTTCTCCAACCTGATATCCCTGACTTTTCTGCTAATGCTCAAATCCTTGTCATCTGACAGTGAACAGCTCCGTGATGAACACGAGAGCATTTTTTCAGAAAGTTTAATTGATGTAGTTTAGAAAACTGTGAGGGCAGTTCTGTTGGACATCAGCCCTTGTCTGACCCTTCTGCTCATTCCTGCCAGTCTGGGGACAGGCTGAAAGTGAAATCTGGTGAAATACAAGTTTTGAGATACTCATTATCTTACCCTCACCCGAAGAAAAACAGTGTTTTAGTCTTAACAGTGAGGCCCAGTGGGACTTTGCTTGTAAATCTTAACCTGTTTCACAGACATTGTTACCTGAATTGAATGTGCAGTGCTGAAGTCTTGGGAAAGCTGCTAAGTTTTAGCTCTCACAGCAATTTAAGCTGCTCTTGTTTTCTGTTCTGTTTCCTCCTTGTCCTCTGCAGATTTCAGGAAACCTTACTGTGCCTTGGATTACAGGTTGTTCCAGAAAAAGAGCAGTAAGTACATTTCTATTTAAGTATCTAATGCATCAAGGGAAGCAATGGGAAGTTGATAAAAATGCATTTTTGAAAATGTCAGTTCTATTTACCTTGTGTTGAATTTTTTCTCTTTATACTTGGACTAAAACAAACATTGTCTGCAGGTGCAGTGTTTCAGGTGAGGTAAAGTTTGATGTATATCTTTAAAACCAGGCCAAGGTCATAATCCTGTGTGAAGTGATGTGATGCTCAGGTGTGGGAATTGTCTATTAGGTGAAATATTACATTAGAATTGATGGACTGGGAGTTTGGAGCTCAGAATATGTTTTTTATATTGCAAATAAAATGATTGTTAGTTGAGGCAACTGAATGCTTAAGAGAGTAACTCCCTGTGCAGCTTCTGTGCACATGCACAGAATTAGTCTGGGCTGTCTGTAGGAACTTTAAAGTATAATTTTATCCACATACATGTCATTTCACATTAGCAGAATCAGCCAGGTTGGTGTCCTCAATTCAGAAATTACTCCAAACCGTAACACAACAGCTTTTATCAGGGAAAATAAACCTCTGTCCAACTCTTTTGTTTGATTACTTCTCACATTTCTGGCTTCTCTTCGAAGACATTTCAGTTCTGCTTCGTCACCATGACAATCCCCCCTGAGCCTGCAGGTTGGATGGTACAGCCAAGCTCTCCAGAGGCTGCTCCACCAGATCCAAGGACTAGGGAGGTGTCTGTCATGGAACCCAAACTTACCCATCCAAACCCCCAATCCGTGGAGCTGGCAGTGGGTGCTGCTTTGGCAGTGTGAGGTCTGGGTAATGGAAGGTTCTTTGCCATCTCCTGCTGTAACCAGTGGTTTTTAATTTATTTATTAATTTTGGTTATTCTGTTTAGTCTCCAAAAAGTGTGAGTTTAGTAGTTTCCTGCATAAGTAGGAATCTAAGAACCGTGGCACTGTGTTTTCTCTCAGACTTTTTCCAGGTCTCAGCTGTAGCACTTCCAGTTTCTGCAGACTTTGGTGGTATCACTTATCTCAGTTTACACAGAGAGCACTTCAGAAGAGCATCTCCCAGAGGAACTGGTACTTTCATACAAATCCTGTTGTGCTCAGTCCTTCTTTTCTCTTCCCTGAGTGCTAATTCTCTTGGGTAGGCTTTTTAAAATGTAGCTCTTGTCTGGAAGGCACCTTCCCCTCATCACTTAATGACCTTTTAAAGCAGCTGCTGAGTGTCCTCAGTACAGTTTCACTTTTGAAAAGGGGAGGTTTTCCCCCTGCCACCCCATCCACAGTCAATATCTAATTGCAGGGTAGCCCAGGTGGAGTGTGTGAGCTGTCAGGTACATATTCTGCTGCTGAGTTTGTCTTTGGAGTTGACTGCCCTTACTGGGGATCAGGGGAGTGCCAGAGCCAGCTCAGAGTGGGCAGCAGGAGCAGGTGGCTGGGAGTGGGATGTGATGCTGGCCCCTCATTGCAGCACTGGCTGGGTTCCTGGGGCATGGTGGTCATGCTGATCCCTGACACAAGCTGGAGAAGACATTTCTGCAGTAAGTTTAAAACCTTCAAGGATGTGGAGATGCCTGTTTATTAATCATACAATCATTAAGGTTTGGAAGGACCTTTAAGATCATTGAGTTCAGGTACCAGCACAGCACCACCCCCGTGTTCACCACTAACCAGGTCCCCAAGTGCCACATCCACACACTTTTTTGAACACTTGCAGGGCTGGTGACTCCTGAGCAGCCTGTGCCAGGACTTTCCATGAAAAATATGTCCTAATATCCAACCTGACCCTCCCCTGGCACAGCTTGAGGCTGTTCCCTCTTCTCCTGTCCCTTGTTCCCTGGGAGCAGAGCCCAAAACCCCCCGGCTCCCCCCTCCTGTCAGGGAGTTGCAGAGCCAGAAGGTCCCCCCTGAGCCTCCTTTTCTCCAGGCTGAGCCCCCCCAGCTCCCTCAGCTGCTCCTGCTGCTCCAGCCCCTTCCCCAGCTCCGTTCCCTTCCCTGGACATGCTCCAGCCCCTCAATGTCTTCCTTACAGTGAGGGGCCATTAAAAATGGTTATTAGGGAATTCTTTTTCCTTAGACCTTTACCCCTGTATATTTTTAATCAATAAAATGCATAAACCCATTGGTTAATACAATCTAGTTTGACAACATCAGTGTCCAGGTTTGTGGAGGCACTTTCCCAGTTGGAATGCAGAATCAGCCTTTCTAAGGAAACAGGGTTAGGACCTGGCACCCTAAAACTGCTGTGTACAGGCAGGTGTAAGACAACAAGAGAGAAGAAACTCCTACTTCCTAAAAAACTTCAGTTTCAACTGTGAAATCCTTTTGAAGAAAGGGTGTGAGGGAACAAAAATAGAATGGCTGGAGTTGTAGAAGTACCATTATGGCAATTACTGCCATTCAAAAAGGAAAAAGGCTAATCTGGATTTTGTTTAAAATGGAGAAGATCGTCTTTTAGATGCTCTGAATTTTTAATCTTTTGCCTTGATGTTTTGTTTTCCTTGTCCTGTCCTTCAGCTGCATCAGGAGAGAAATAAAAGCTGTGCAGTTCTGCAGAAACTCTTTCTCTCTGCTGGAAGATGATGTAATCCTGATTGTTAATGAATATTAGTCTAGAAATATCACCCTCTCAGTTACTCATGAGAGGGCCTTTGGAAGTTACAGAGTTCTGTGTTCTGTCCTGGTGCATGTGCATTGGCCTTTACAAATGCATTGATTTTTGGTTTTTCACAGGGTGGTGGAAGGAGAACAAGGATTCAAAAATAGCAGTAGAGATATTGGTTAAAGAGCATTAAAAGGGGGAAAATATCTTCATTTTTGCCCTTAGATTTAAGTCTAGTGTGTATGACTGTGTTTCAGCTCTGTGTCATCTGAGGTCCCAGCAGACTGGTTAGTGTTTGGGGTACATTTAAATATGTTGGTATGATATGGAAAACATTTGTCACACAGGTGATGGCTCTGGGTAAGCTGTGCCTTAGCTGTGAAGTTTTATTTTGGGGGGAAAGAGGGGTTTTGATTTGCCCAGAGCTTCAGCCTGGGGTCTGTGGGCTCTCAGTCTGACACATATTTGGGGAGGGGAAGTACCTGAAATGGGTGGAGAGAGTTCCTGTGCTGAATTTTGATTTTAAATTACTCTTTGCTCATGGCCTGTTTGAATAAAACTCTGGAGACAGTGGCATTAAAGTGTCCCCCCTTGGAGTCCTCCTGCCACAGGAGGAGAGCAGTGGGCACACTTTGGGTCGGGGTGAGACCTCCACCAGTTCCGTGGCACATCCGTGGGCATGGGGAATACAGCTGGATTGTGGGGGGGAGACAGCAGTGGAACTGCTGAGGAAAATGCTCCTTGGAGTGGGTCTGAAAGGCCCCTGAAAACTGCCTGCTGCTGTAAGTGGATGTGAGCTGGAGAAAAAATACCTTGGAGCAGCTTTACAGTGAAGCCCCCACAGGGATTAAAGCTGCCTGGAGTCAGAGGTCACCTCAGCTGTGCCTTTTTGTTTTCAGACTACACCAACATGAAGTTCTCTTCACCTGTTCAGATTCCTCTGCTCTCCCAGGAGGGAAGAAAAGTGGTTTAGTGAAGTTGCTTGGAGCATGTCTGAGTGAGACAGGTGGGATCTTCAGGGAGGGAGATGAGCCAAGCTGAGGGTCTCCACAGGGCTGGGTGGGAAACTGTCCTTGTTCATACTTGGTGTCTTTGGGAATATTGGTTAATGTGTTTCCTCCTCCTGGGAAATATTTCACCACCTATCTCAAGATACTTCTCCATGAGATGATCCAGAGCGTGTCCTGGCCTTCCTCCCAGGAACAGCACCTTTGTCCAGCAGCAATCCTCGGGGAATGCAAAGGGAGAGCAAGTCTGGTCATCATTGCAGACAAAATACATCTTTTTATTTATTATATGACATGCTGCACCAAAGTGCCACAAACCACCTTGGCTTATTGTGTACCATGAACCTGCAGGCCAGAAATATGTCACACCTGGGCAGGAGCTGGAAAACAGACTTTCTGCTCTAATGTGAGGAAGTTATTAATAGATTAAGTAAGAATCATGATAATTACCATCTAAAAATCAGTTTACTTTGGGGCTGAATGTTCAGTATTTAACAAACTAGTTCAAAACCTCAAGAAGAAGGGCAAATTTTCAGTTTGTGTGGATTGAGGGTTGGTTTGGAAATTGCAGAGTGAGATGACTGGGGTTCAGAGTGTGATTTTTTTTTGGCTAGACTGTTCATTGCACAGATACCTCTTTTTTCTTTTTTCCTTTTCTTTCATCTTCTTAGCTGAGTTTGGTTTAGAAACAGATATTAACAGAATATGTATAATTTTGGCTGAGTGTTGAAGCTCATGAGAGAGTTACAGCTCTTCTCACACCGGGGTCCTGTGAAATATTGAGTTCTGCTTCCATCAGAGCAAACTTAGGCTTCCCCAGCCAGTGGGGAAGGATGCAAACCATCTCTGGTGCAGAAATCTAACAGTGTGTGCCCTAAGAGTGTGTCAGCAGTAAGAGTTTAAGGTGCCTTCAGATGCTGCTTTTCCAAAGTCCTTTGTGCCTGAAGTTTGTGCAGCTGTGTGTGAGCAGCAGGATCGGGGTGTCACTGACATGGGGGCACTGGTGAAACCTGAACCTAAAACCTCAGACTGAAGGAATGTGGCATCTGGTGCAGCTTTAATGAGGTTAAATATCTTGGTAGTGTTAAGGGACAATGCAGACCTTCAGAATTTGTATATGGGAAATCAAGAAATAATAAACAAGAGTAAGATTCATATTAAATGGTGCAGATGGGAAAGGGGAAACCATAGTAAAATGGGTCAGAAATAACTATTAATATATATAAATAAGATCTTGGGATAGGAATTGATAATCCCCGCTAAAAATCAGACATTAATTAGTGTCAGGGCTCAGAGAGCTGAACGATGGTGTCATTGGGAAGGAAAAACTGACACAGTGTTTGTACAGAAGAATCTGGGATTTGTTCATACCTTGAATGCTTCTGATCTTCCCATCCCTCCCAAAATACAACAGAGGAGCAGTGACAGGGATCAAAGGCATGGAAAATTTGTTGTGAGAGGCTTGTTTGCTAAAAATAACCATTACCTCAGCCCGTTTCATCACCAAGCATCAGAACTGAATGTTGATTTAATGTGATTTCACTGCAGTTTAAATGAGCCCAACACACAGTGCTCAGCTGCACCATAAATGCAGTAGTTACTACATTTATATTAAACCCCCAGTTCTCTCGTTTTTTACCATGTCTTTGATTAATAATCTGAGATTTGTGTATAGCTTTTGTGCACGTGGCCTGAAACATTTTCAACTCATGCATAAAACTGGATCTAAAAAAGCAAGATCTAATAAAAGGCAGGATAAGGACACTCCACTGCCGGGCAATTATTCATCCCAATTATAGACACCGGATTTGCACCACAGATCCTGCCTGCACAGTGGGTGTGATGAGGGGTCGGCCCAGTGCCAGGAATGTCTATAATAAACTGGGTCATCTCTTCCAAGGATGTTGTTGTTACACTTGGGAGGTCGGGGGATAAGCCGGGTTTAACCCTGCGCGCGGCAGAACTGCTGATTCAATTTGCTCGCCAGGATTGCTTTTCCTTGGGAATTGAGAGGCTGCTTTCTGCTGGAAGCTTCTTCTCCTGATTTTTTTTTAACTGTGGACAACAAAAGTGGTCAATGTGAGGAATTCAGCCAACAGCCAACACTGCTAGGAGTAAAGCCGAGCCTCGAATGGGCAAACCCGAGATCTGAAGAGAGGAAATGAGAATTGAATTCATAGTTTGATTTAATGAAGTAAAAATAAGAACTGAATTACTGCCTTGTCTTCATCTGTAGAAAGTATTGCCATAAATATGAAGCTTTTCAATATTATCTTTTGATATTTTTTCCTATAACTGTGAATATTAAGATATTTATAGGACTTGAGTTTTTCCTCTTGCTTCCTCAGTTCCCCTGATGATATTAAGCATAAGAAAGTTATTAACTATGTTGATGGAAGCATAGTTACATGTTCAATGTAGAAATTCTACCCTTTATTTTCTCACAAAAGTCATTTCCTGTTGTAAAAGCATTATGTAATTTTTAAGCAGTTTATAATGCAGGAGTCAAACTTGAGTATAATCCATGTCAAGGGGATGATCCTGTAATTGAAGGTAGTTTGTGATTTCCCTAAGAAATTGCTGATTAAGGCACATGGCACAGCATGTTACATGAAGGCAGTTAATCTGGATCTGAAGTTTGGACATGCTGAAGTGTTATTAACATCCAGAGAGCTTAAGGGCTGACACTGAGCCCAGGATGATGGTGCAGCAAAGGAGAGCAGGGTGTGGAAATGATCATCTTTTGGGGTCTCTCTTTTCCATTTCCTCTGTGCCCCGTGATGGGTGTCAGGGTGATTCCTGTACTGCTGGGATGAGGGACAGGATGAGGTGCCTGGTGTGGCAGCAACTGCAACAGCAAAAAGCAAAAATACACATTGTCAGCTGAAACACTGGGAGGTAAAAAAAAAAACCCTATTTTTTCCTCCTTTCATTTCCACAGCAAGTGGCTGCAAAAGACCTTTTTGAGAGTGTAGCTACAAGAGAGTTCTCTAAACTTTAAAAATCTGCTTTGATCTAAACTATTGAGACTGACTCTACAACCTGGTCTTGTAGCAAAACTTTATGGCAATTGTGAGGTGAAAACCATTGAATAGTCATGTATCTAATAAGATTTTTATTGAAACATTTGTAGTAGATGATCAGAATTAACATCCACCCATCTAAAATGGAAAAGATGTGAGATTGCATTTTTAAGTAAAAGTTTTGAAGGTCAGGTGGCTGCTGCTTTCTTCTTGTATTGATTAAGTAAAAGCTGAGCAGGCTCTGCACCCTTCCTGAGCACCATCCCTTTGGTAACTTGAGTCAGTCACTGTGTGTCTTTGTCCAGTGCAGGATCCTCTTGCATCTCACGTTCCTGTTGGCCAGTTCTTCCCTGGGTTCTTTCAGTACAAGCATTTCTGAGATAATTGGAAAATCACGTGGCAAACAGAAACCTGAGCTCCCTCCAGCAGCAGCTGCTCTGTCTTTGGGTTTTGTTCTAATTTGGCCAACACAACAAACTTAAGTGGGAGAAGACAACCCTGAGTGGGGCTGCTCCCTTCCCTGGGCAGTAACATCAGACAGGTTTCTTTTTGCTTCTCCCATTTCACCCCTCTGCTGGGAGGGGGAATGTCCACAGTGTGTTCCAGGGGGTCCTTTAGCTGGGCATGTTGTGTTTTGTGCTCCCACTGAGCACAGATCACAGTGAGCTGGGAGTTCCCTGTCAGTGGTTGCAGCAGTGCTGTCACTGAGCTCTCCAGAACCAACAAGAAATGTTATTTATTTATGTTTCAAAAACGCTCAGTGTCCTTTGGAAGGTGAGGTTGCCCTGAGCATTCAGGGATGCAGGCCAGCCCGGGGTTTCTCCGTGTATTTGGGGTGTTGGTATCCCTCTCCTTTCTGCCTTCCCTCTTCTCAGCTCCCCCACCACAGAGCAGTCCTTGTAGAAATCAATCTATTTTGCCAGCAGCCATAAAAGGAGCTGTTGCTGCAGTGATCCAGGAGATAACTACACTTTTGTTCCTTGGAAAGGGCTTGTAGGTAGGAGCAGCTCAGGTCAGCTGTGCCAGGGGCACGACTCAGCTCAGGGTGAACGGGCACCAGGGATTTGGCTTTGCTGCACTTTGCACAGCCTGGAGCAGTCTTGAAATGTGCCAAGTGGATTCCTTTTGGATGAGAATAGCCTGGAGCTTGCTGTCTGGGAGCATCTCCTGTGCTGTGGCTGCTCAGGGTGTGCAGGAGGCAGGAGAGCGGCTCCGGCTGTGCTGTGTCCATGGATGCTCCACTCTGCCTCTGGGTGCCATCAGCCAAGGATGGGTGGGATGGAAACAGCTTCTGTCATTCTGGACTTGGATGGATGAAATGATAGCCAGGAAAAACTCCTGAGTGCCTGGTTGCAGTTAATAATCATAGAATCATGGAATTGTGACAGTTGGAAAAGACCTCGAAAGTCATCGAGTCCAACCAGACCATATTTGAATATACCTGGTACATTTATTACTGTGGCACCCAGGATTATTTTAAGGAGATAAGGGTTCGATACCCCTATTTCATGTTCAACATCAAGGTGATTCAAGTGCTTCAAACATTTTTTTTAAAAAGTGATTTTTAAAAGAAGAAAATTGTAAGGATTACCATATTCTGACGATTAGCAAAAGCTAGAACTGGTAACTCTACAAGGTTGTCAAATGATCCTATTCTGCAAAATTCCCTTTTACTCCATTTTAAAATTATTTCATTCTAACTTTTCACAGTTTTTAAATGAGCAAACACAGATTTCAGCTATTGCAATCGTGAACAAAATGAACTAGTGAAATAATGACAATTGGGCTACATGGGCTACAAGTTCACAGTGCAGACTTTGTGGTTGCATTTCTGTACTCTGAATAGCAGGAGAGGTGACAGACATGGGTTTGTGTAAAGAAACTGTAGATTTTAGTTAAAATTCTGGGTGACAAGCTTTTGATAAAGGTTGGAAGCTCTGCCAGAGAAATACACTCTGTGCCCACCCCAGTTCAAGCAGTGATGTTCAGGAGTTCTTTTTCAGTGTTACTCCTTTTATCAGTGATCCACTATCACATATTTTGATAAGTGTAGACAAAGAGTTTGGGAACTCTCAGATAAATAGTGGAACCAATTTAACTCAAGCTTCCCAAATAAACATTAAAGTATTCCCTTTAGGAAGTCAGAATCCTTTGAATTATGCATGTATTGTAGTTTGCAGTAAGATAAAAGAACTTCAAGGGGGGGGGAGGGTGAGAAACTTGAAAAGCCTTAAGGAGTAATTTGCATAAATTGGGTGGAGAGAGTAAACAGCACAAGGGGAAAAAAGTTCTTTTCAGTAAGGCCTTATAGGATGAGATAAAAAAATGACAAAAAAAATCAGGTGGAGTTGAAACAAAGCTGAAGTGCTTTAAACCTGCCACTGCCTTTAAAGCAAATCCCAGGGAACTCTGAACTACCCTGAATAAAAAACCCTAAACTTTAAAAAAATACTCTTAAGGGAGAGCTAAAAGAGAAGAAGAGCCATGGAGACAGTACCACTTATGTCTTACTGTACATGAGACCTCTGGCAATGAAATGGGATAAGCAGATTTTTTTTTTAAATCTTAACAGTGTGTTTTTTATCTTGCAGTTACAGGACCGCACACAATTTAGTGACCGAGACTTAGCCACCCTAAAGAAATACTGGGACAATGGCATGACCAGCCTGGGCTCAGTCTGCAGAGAGAAAATTGAAGCTGTGGCTGCAGAATTAAATGTTGACTGTGAAATAGTGCGGGTAAGAAATCCAGAGTCTTCCCTTATCTTGTCGCTGGAGCAAAAATAGGACAGATGAAAGGCTTTAAAAATTTCATGAGGAAGCTTGAAATAGATATCACGTATTACATAATGAATGACCACGCTGGGAAGTGCTCTCCTGCTCTTTCTGCATCTATATATAGTACAAGCCCTCAGGTAAGATCTTATTGATCAGCAGCAGAAGCAGCACTACAAGCTGTTTGACATCCTCTGGAGTAAGATTTTAAGTGAAAATGTTTCGTTTTGTAGGGAGATCCTAGAAGACTGAAAGGTGCTATTTGTGTTGCTATTAAGATACCAAAAAAAGGCTTTTCTGTAGACAAAGGGAAAGGATTTCTCATTCATGCTTATAGGAAAAAAACATCTGAAAGAAAATGCTCCAAAATAGGAAAAAAACTATTTAACAGGAGTGTCTTGAGGGCAGGCTGAGATGTGATGGAGAGCACAGGGCACTGTGAACAATTCTGGGTTCAGTTTGATAGTCCATGTAGGTGTGGCTGAGGAGGGATTGCTTTACAAGGTACAGGGGTGGTGGAGATCACCTGACTCCCAAGAACACCCCACATCATCTCTTCCAGAGGCTGGGAAGTTTGGTACAGCCTCAGTCGATGCCACTGTGTCCCAGATGAGCAGAGATACAGCATCATTCTCCAGCTGGGGTGTCTCAGTCACTCAAGGTGTGTCCATCCTCAGGAAAGAGTCTGGCTGTCCTTCAGTCCGACAAAAACATGACAAGAGCCCCCATAACAAGCAGGACATTTATGATCAGTCCTTTCAGTCTCCATCCTCTTTTTCCACCTCTTTCCTAAATTCCTGACACTGCTGCAAAAGCAGAACTGGGAGCCCTTATTGAAACCCTCCTGTTGGGGAGACCTCTGGGTTGGAACATCAGAATGGTACCAGAGCTACTCTCAATGTTAACACAGATCTGATTATTTACTTGTTTGCCTGAATCCTAAAAAACTAAACTGTACTTTTGGAGGCTGAAAAGAATTACTCTTTTCTCTGTAGAGAACAAAGCTGGTCCCTATTTCCCAAGCTCTTCAGTTTGCTTTCTGAAAGGTGGAGCTGTTCCCACTGCCAGCATCTCCTGGACATGACACAGCTCATTTCCAGGACAGTGACATCCATGCTCCCTCAGTTTGCTCCCTTAGGAATCACACAGGGTGACACTGTGGAGTTCTGTACATACCTTTAATCTGCTGCAATGCTTTTGTCCTCAGGGCAGGGCTCTGGCATAACCTGTATCAAAACACACACAAATGAAGGAAAAAAAGATATCTTTTCTTCTCTTCTTCTTTATTGTTACCAGTGTCTGCCCCACCTCTGACTCTGGTTCCTCTATATGGCAGATTTGGGAATTGTAGCAAGAATTGTGATGTAAAAAATAAATGCAGCATATATAAAGTAGTACTGAGTATCCATATAAACCCAACTGCACATATATATATATATATATATATATATATATATATATATATACATACACATATTTGGGTTTATATATATATGTGTATGTGTGTGTGTATAAAAAATAACACCCACAACAAATTTAAATATGTGAACTCCGACCCAAACCTCTTTAACTTAAAATATTTCTCTTTTTTACATTATAATTATTGCTGATTACATTTTGGTTTGGGTTCTTTGTTTTGTGGGGGGTTTTTTTTGTTTGGTTTTTTTTTTACACATTTTTATTAATTCATAGAAGAATAGCAGAATAGCCCTTTTGGCAGCAAGACAGACATTTGCTAAGGAGGGATGTCAGCTATGAAGCTCCTCAGAAATATGGGAGGAATATAAGACAAATGCATAACAATTTTATATATTTTTTTTTAATTAATAGAACAGAAAGCTTTTGGATATAAGAGATCAAAGCTACTCCTAAGCACCCACTGTAGGGTAAAGACATCTCCTCCTCTTTGCCAGCAGTTCACCAGGTAAAAGCTGGTGACACTATAAAAACATGTTCATCTTCTATGACATATTCAATATGTTCAATGAAAGCTTTTCTGCTTTGAAAGGTGTATAAAAAGACAAAATCTGCCTTTCCCAAGTGCCTCAGTTTGCTCTGAATTTTTTACTAAAAAAGAAGTAGATTCAATTTTAAATTTTCTACTTGTTATCACTATTTATTACCATCAGAAGATTATGGGAAAATTTAAAGAATGGCAATACACAGCTTGGAAAAAAGAGATACAGATCTCAAAGGGCTGCTTGTGGTTTTTTTTTTTTCTTTTATTTTTTTCCCCGAACAATATATAATATACAAAATTATCTGGGTAGCTCTCTGCGTGCCTGTTGTGCATTCTTCAAAGAGGAAAACCAGCAAGCTGGGAAAGCAAATACCACCCAACAAAAAGGATTTGCCAAAAATAGTGTTCAGCATGTCACCTTTTAGCTAGTTAGAGATGCAGCTTGAAAAGATCTTTTTTTCAAGGTTAGCACAGCATGAAGCTGCCTTTAGTAGTTGGGACTGCTGTTAATATTTTTTTATTTTTCTCTTTGATTATCAAGATATTACAAGCAACAAGTTTTTTTTACTAAACTTTTTCATGCCCTATATCAGAAAAAAGCCTCAGTAATGGAAGGGAAGGGAGAGAAGTAAGAGGTGAAGAGGTGCAGACAGTTCTTATGACATCATGTTAAACCCTGTTTTGGGTGTTAAGTAATTTTTAGTGTAGACTTTTCTTTATCAGAGAAAGCAAATTAATGGACAGTTGTACAGATCCACTTGGAGAATTTGGAATGTTAGGTGGTTTTTTTCCCTTTTTTCTTTTTTGAAACTTAGTTTTATTGATGTAAAATGAACTTAAAGCATCCATACGCATCCCACCGGGAATGGGGTTCCAGGTTCCTGGGTCCTGGGCCTTTTCCATCTTCCACCACTGTTCCCAGTGGGCTCCTCTACCTTCCTGCAGGCAGTGTTTCCTAAAGCCTTGTCTTCCAACCACAGGGGACCGAAGGATGATCCTGCTCTGAACTTAGTGTTCTGTCCTCAGAGTGGAGTGATGTAGATCTGTCACCTTGGCCAATTCCCTGTAGGAAATCCTAGAGCAGGTGGGATGTTTGGGTCACTTTAGTCCCCTTAAGGAAGTTGCAGAGTGGGAGAAACCTGGATCAAAGATCTTAAGTTAAATTTGTTGAATAATTTAGGTGGGGAGAGACCTTACGAGGTCACCTAGTCCTGCTCTTTATTTAGAGCAGGATTGACTTCGCAGTCAGGTCAGGTTTCCCAGGATGATGTCCGGTAAAATGCTGAGTTACCTCCAAGGCTGGAGGTGCCAAGGTTCCTATGGACACACTGTCCCTGTGCCTCACTGGAAAGAATATTTTTCCTTTTCTTCTCAACTCCAGTCAGAGCTTCCCTAGCTGCTACTTGTGCCTGTTGCTGCTTTTCCTTTCGCTGTGCACCTTCCCTTTTCCCTTGTGTTGGAGGACTGAGCCTGGACACAGGATCCCAGGAATCAGCCTCATGAGGGTCAAACAGGGGGAATGACCCCTCCCCTGCAGTGCTGCTGCACTCTTGTTCCTGTAGTCCAGATGTGCTGATGTCACTTGGTTGGGGGCCTGTTGCTTTGTCATAGTTTCTGATTCATTCATGTTTATTTCTCTTACAAGACTTGGATTGGGAATCGAAGACGGAAATATCGTTTAATGGGGATTGAGGTCCCACCCCCTAGAGGAGGTCCTGCTGATTTCTCTGATCAATCTGAATTTGTTTCTAAATCAGCACTTAATCCAGGAGAGGAAACTGCTACTGAAGTGGGGGATGATAATGATAGGAATGATGAAGTGTCAATCTGCTTATCTGAAGGAAGCTCACAAGGTATTTGAATTGCAGTTACTGCTGTGCCTGTATTTTTAATTTTGTGCAGTGTGCATGCTTTGGATTCTGTTGTTCACATTCACAAACGTCTGAAAGAGTCTCTCACAGTCACAAGGGCTCCACCTCGGCTTGTTGAAGGTACTGTTTGGTCTCTTTCTTCTCCCTCTCTCTGAGTTCTGTTGGCTTTGTTATCACAGAAGTTGCAGGAGCCTTTTCTTGTAAGAGCTCCGTTTCTGCCTCATTCATATAAGACAAGTTCACATTTTGCTGGTGCAGCTGAGAGCTGGACTGACAGCACAGATGAAGAATCTCCCTTCCCCAGGAAGCCAGGTTTAAAAAAATGCTCTCTGCAAACTGGCCAGGTGTACACGACCACCTGGAATATCCATCCCGTTTGACGCCCCATCCCTGCAAGTGTCCAAGGCCAGGTTGGACGGGGCTTGGAGCAGCCTGGGTTAGTGGAAGGTGTCCCTGCCGTGGCAGGGGGTGAGACTGGATGAGCTTTCAGGTCCCTTCCAACCCAAACCATGCTGTGATTCCATGATTCCTGTGAGCCCGAGTGACCCCAGGCACTGATGCACATGGACCTGCTCCCTGTGAGCTGAGCAGAGCTGGGCACTCACAGCTCTCCTGGCAGGGAACCATCAGCTCAGTCCTGGGCTTGAACTAAAGCTGCCCAGAACTCCTGGTGTTCCAGGCTCTGACAGGCAAACACCAATCAGCAGATCAAAGCCAGGAGCAGGGAGGGCTCAGGAGCCTCAGAGCTGCACCCACAGGGCGTGTCCTTGGAAACCTGCAGGATCTGGAGTGAGAAGTGTCTCGGACTTAATTCCCTTTTCCTCCACCTCCCACGAGCACATGGAATCGATCCCTCCCTTCCCCTCTTGTCCATGAGCTCTGGGCCCCACGAGCTGCTCTGCACATCCACAGCTCACTAATTGCTCCCAGTGCTTCTGATTAGAGAGATCAATAAAGCCTTTGCTCTCTAAACTTAAAGAAAGCCTGACCTCGGGCCTGCTGGTGCAGCTCGATGTGCCAGGCTTGATCTTGTCATCTTGTCAGAACAATTTCAAGGGAAGAATCAGGAAAAGGGAGAGCTGCTGGGAAGGAATTTGTGATGGCTTTGTCATAACCTGCTGGAAAGAGAATAAGATGATAAAGAAATGGGTCAAGTGATTGAAAGGCAAGTGAGATGCAGAATCTCCGAGTCCTTGATTTGCCTGAGGTGTGGAAAGAGCTGATTTAAGTCAGATCTGCTTGAAAGAAAACAGTGACAGGGGAACAGTCTGAACCCTCTGTAGTTAAAGTGAGAAATAACAGCACTTTTTTTGAGCAAGGCTTTCATAAAACAAGATAAGGCTGGAAGACTTTGAGTAGATTATTAGTGTCAAAGCTTAAGGAAGTGCAAGAAAAATGACAGGATTTCCACAGCATCCAGGAATCCCACTTTCATTCCTTTATTCTCCCACAACAATTATTGCTATTCATTTCTCCAGTTCAAAGGAAGAGGTTTCACTGCTGCAGCTCAGCTTGTTTTGAACTCCCGGGAAAATATTTCCCCTAATACTCATGTGTGCCATTCAGTCACAGATAGGGATTGTTTTAATGTTTGAGAACTGTAACTTTTGATCCTAATTTATTAAAAAACCCAAAACCACCACAACAAAAACCACTTTGAAAGACAGAAAAAAAGCTATTTTTGATCACCTGATTGGAGTGACATTGGTGATGGCTCTTGTATGTATAAATGTATAAATGTATAAATATAAAAAAATAAAGTGAGCTGTACTGTGATGCCAGATGAAGCATTAAAGCTCTTCTATTGCCTCACCTTTTTAAATTGTATGTTAATTGGATCCATGCTTTGTGTGAGCACAGCCCTGTGGAGGGTCAGAGCTGTGCTGGGTTCTGTGAGCTGAGGATGAATATTTAAAGAGTTGGGAATGCTGTAGGGAGCTGCTGTGGGATCCAAGGGGTGACTCTCAGGGTTATGGAGTGGCTGGTGCTCTGGAATGTTCCCGAGTCCCTGAGGTGCCTCCTCAGTGCCCTTCACCCCCCTTTCCCTGCTCCTGCTCTCCAGTTCTCCCATTTGATCCCATTCCTGTTGCTCCTGGCACTAATTGTCCTCAGAAGCCACGACTGATGGCAGATTAAACTTATTGGAAACAATTTTAAATTAAATTTGCTCAGTTTAGAGATATTCAACTGGTAGAAAACTTACTTAAAACAATTAATTGTCTCTGTATGATCTGGCCTAAACATTATCCTGTCCTTGCAGTGTTGTTAATCCCAGGAAAATCCTGTTATCCCTGTGTATGTGTGGAGCTGACAGACCCTGGCATTGCCACCTGCCCCCTTCCAGTGTCCTACCTGAACCTTGCTGCCCATTCCCTCTTTTCCTCTTTATATTAAATATATATATTTATATATTAATGCAGAAAATTCAAGTAAATATGAGAAACATACTTAATTTTAGGGGTGAACAGACTTACTTATCTTCCTTTGGGTTAGGTTTTCTCATTGGCCATTAAGGCAAATAGAATCATCTATTCTGTATTTCATCTATATTTCATCCTTGTGGTTGAAATAGAAGGGTAAAATCTGCTCTCTTTTCAAGTGCTTGTACATAAAACAGCAGCTTAGGTTCAGTGGGGATACATTTGCCACATGAGAAGGAAATTATCTGCTTGCTCAGTTTTTGGTTCAAAACTAACCAATGTCTGCAAGGAGGAGGTGGGTTCAGACACATACCTATAATTTCAGGTGATATTCTGATATGTATCCTGTAATTTCAGGGAATGCAGAGTTTTTCATGCAGTAATTTATTTGACATTAAAAAAAAAAAGTTCTGTACACTCTTTTAATATTCCAATCTGAATCAAAAAACAGGAAGATTGTAAGAGAATAACTAATAGTTTTCCTATTGTTTCAAGTAGCAATTGGCAAATTGGCTTGAAATCCTTGTGACAGGATGTCTTCTTTAATCAGACATATGTTATTTTTTTATGAATAGACATTGTTACTATGACTTTGCTTTTGAATTTAGCAGCTGTGACATATTTATGGTAAAGACTATTAATGTTCCTGCAGCATAAAAGTGGAATGAAACCTGACAAATCTAATTTATTTCTGCAGAAGAGACAAATGAAGCTCTTCAAAATGAAGAAATTGGTCACAAAGATGATGACCAGAATCCAGTTCCCGCTGACAATGTGGTAGGTACCTTCCTTTGCCTCCTGAATTCCTCATGCTGGGGTTGTCCAATATCAGTGTTTCTCATTAGGTGAAAACTTGAGGGTGCTGAGAGGCCTTCCTAGTTGGGAGCACTAAAACTGTACTAGAAATACTAAAACATAGTAGAAAAAAAATACTAAAACATTCAGTGGAAATGGAATTACATGTTTTTTCTGTATTCTGCCAATCTGCTGTTCTTCCTCTGGAGGGCCAAGCCCAACTCTTGGGTAGAGCTTTGAAAGTACCAAGTGTAGCAAAACAGAAAGGAGAAAAAAAAAACAGAATTAAACCTGGTTTTCTGTAGCTTTCAGCAGGTATCTCTGGTGGTTCCTCTACCTGGCTGACCTTGGATGGGCAAGTCAGGTAGGGTGGGAATGTGCTGGATGATCCTTGGGGATCCCTTCCCACTCAGAATGGTCTGGGATTCTGGGATCCTTCACTCCCATACCCTGGCCAGGGCATTATTCAGGTGTTTCTTGTTTTCCCCCTTGCTGGTTTAACTGAGAGCAGTGAGACAAGGCAGGACAGGCAGAGAGAGGAGTCCTGGCAAATAATGCCATAAATCCCTGTGTTCAGCCAGCCCTCTCTCAGGTTAGAAGAAAGGAGAGAAGACCCCAGGTGAGTGACTTTTACCTGGAGTTACCTGCAGAATGATCAGGGCATGGCCCAGCTCCCACTGCACTCCTGGGCAGGGCTGAACCCACAGCTCAGAACAGGGAACAACATTTGTGTTCCATTGACCACCCAGAACCCGAGGGGGGAAGCAACAGGAGAGTCCCTTCCCCCTGGGAGGAGCAGACTTTTCCTTTCCCTTGTTAATTATGATCACCCTTTGGATACACTGAAACCCCAGAGGCTGCCTGAACAGATCCAGCTGCCTTTTCCCTCCCTTATCCCAGGTGTCCTGCTGTGACCTCAGCTAATCCCTCGGAGGTCTGGCTGATGTGTCTCCCATGGAGATACAGGATCTGAAGTGACAGGCAAAGGGTTTGCAGAGATGATGTCTCAGAGACTCAGCTCTCCAGTTCCCTGAACCCCAGCACTGTGCAATTTGATGTAATAACGGGAACAAATCCAAGGAATAGTTTCTTCACACTTTGTTCTGAAAACACTGCCACAAAACTTTTTAAAAATGCAGTTAAAATTGGACTAAAATACATTGGATTTGCATAAGAGATGCAATTTTCCTATTTGAAATTCTAATCTGTTCTTTCCCCTACTATCTTAAAGTGTATGTCTACGAAAGATAGTGTGAATGTTTGGCACTTATTTAGAGACTCTTTCCTCAAGCTGAGCCTAAAAACAAAAATATTTGAATCACAGTGTTGCCGAGGGTAGGATGGAGCAGCAGATCTCGGGGACATGGAGCCTTTGAAGTGTTGTCACTTCAGCTGGGCTGTCAGACACAGGAAATGTGGTTTATCCTCCCTGCTTTCAACACACACTTGGGACCTTGGTGGGTCCTGCCAGGGAGAGCCTGGTAACCCCCCCTGGAAGGGTTTCTCCTTGGGATCAGAAGGACATTCCTGCTGCCTGGAGTGCAGGCAGCAAGAAGGGACATGGATGTGCTGCAGGGAAGGAGCCTCCTCTGGAATAACACCTCAGGAGCCAACCATGAGCCTGGACTGGGCTTAAACACTATCCTGAAACCATAGTAAAATTGCTTTATTGTAGACAGTCTCATAGATGTTCACAACTATCAAACCAATTAAAAATAGTTAAAAAACAATCCCCTCCTCATATACTACCCCTGCTTCCCTCTCAAATATAGTGAAATCTGGGCAGTCATGCTTCACAGCTCTGTTGAAAAATGCCATTCTTGTCACTAATTCACATCCACTTTATCTGTTTGATATATACCTTAGATAGGAATAAAAATTAAAATCTCATAGAGGCACTAAAAATGTGTGCATTTTGTGTTTTCTCCTGTTGAAATAACCTTTTAACTGAATTTTCTTACATAAAAAGAAAAAACATTCTTTTCTGTTGGGAGAAAACAGAGCATGCAATTGGTAAATAATGTAAAAGTGATTTTTTTTTTAAAAAAATTTGGGATAGGATTGTGATGTATTTCTAAGTTTTAATCAGCATTAAGCTTGGTCTTAACATTGTGCTTTAGGTGTCTTTAGAAACCCAATATAAAAACCTCCCTAAATTTTTGGGAATTAGGTGAAAATGTCCATGTTTGTGGATTTGGAACTGTCCTTTGGATCAGCATCCTCTGCTGTTTAGGGCACTTCACTTGCCCTGTGGCCAGAGAGGGCCAAAGGGGAACTCCTTCATTGTTCAGGCACAAAATAGATCAGTACTTGCCCTAACATCTGGTTTGCTCCAGAGGGATAAATTTCCAGAACCTCCTTCAGAGCAGGGCTGTGAGGGGATACAATGTTCAATTTGATGCTTAAATCCTGGAGCCAGGGAGCTCCTCCCCTGTACACAGCCCAGTCACCATGGCAGCAGCTCCCTGTGGATTCCTGGATCCTGGCTGAGGTGCAGTGTTGCCACCTAACGGGGCTGCACAGCTCGGGATTCCTCGGAGCCAGCACAGCCCTGCATCCTTTCTGCCACTTGGAGACGTGGATTGTTGTCTCCTGTCACCTTCACCCCTCCCTGGCACTCTGGGATGAGGATCCTGGTTTGTTTGTCTTCTCTGGGCGTTGGAATGTTCCAAATGAACCGTTTGCTTCTGTTCCAGAAAATAGAAATTATAGATGATGAGGAGAGTGATATGATCAGTAATTCTGAAGTGGATCAGATGAGTTCTCTCTTGGATTATAAGGTGAGTAACTGGGCTGTGTCAGGCACAGCAGGACAATCCTCAGGGAGTTCAGGGGAGGAATTCAGCAAAGGCAGCCCCTCTGCTCTTATCCCTGTGTGCACATCCTGCCCTCAGACCCCTCTCATCCCACCTCCAGCCACACTTTCCATATTTCAACCCCCAGGGAAGCAGGAAAACCCCACTTCACAGAGCAGTTGCATTGCTGCGGGTGCAGCTCCTGCCACGTGTCCCAGACCAGTTTATGGAGCCTGTAAACCACAACTTCCTTTTTGTGGGACAGTTGTTCCTTGGAATGCTGCAGCATACTTCTCCTGCTGCCAGCTTTGGAAGGGACATAACAGCTGGGATCCTTAATAAAATGGAGGGTCTGAGGAGAAGTCATTTCCCAGGACGTGCCTGGAAGTGGTGACTGTGGGAGGGAGGGGAAGCAGTGGGATCCTGACAGCTGCCTAAGGGTGAAGGGGAGGGGATGTTACTGCTCCCCTGAGCTGCCATAATTCCATGTTTTATTGAGCATGGCTTTCCCTGTGTAGCTGATTTTTTTCACTTGGAAACCAGGTCTGTTCTCCTGCCAACAGTCAATTACCAAAATAATAAACAGATCATCCCTTCAGAACAAAAATTGCTCCTTCCAGCAGCGTTTTCCTGGGAAGGGCAGTGGGGAATGAACGTGGAGAGGGAATGACCTTTTCTTAATGTCACTTCTCACTGCAGTGACAGGCTTGTTGTGACAGTGCCCTGCAGACCTGGGTCTGTCATTTGACATCACTGATTAATCCAGGAGTTTTCTACCTAAATCTGAATTCTTCCTTGGCTGGGCAAAATCCAGTGCTGAACTGCTGAGTCCCCATCTGAAAGAAACTCAACTCATTTTTTTATGAAAGCCTCAAAATCACAGCCCAAATATTCCCCTCTCATTCCCAGAGCTGTTATCACCTGAAGCAGTGTGGAGAGCAATGTTCTCACTGAAAAAATGGGAATTTTCTGGCGGAAAAAAAGCCAACAAGACCAGAAAACCTGTAGTGCATCACATAATCTCACCTTTTCCTATCAACTAAAGCTGAATTACAGCCAGCAAGTGTAAGCAGAAACAGCATATTTTTTCTCCAGGAGGATGCACAGTTGGTGCTGTTATACAGGGCCCCTTTACAAAAATGAGCAGTGACTCTGATCTTGTAACCTGAATACACAGTTTGATTTTCATGATCTTTGCAAAGGTAAATAACCACAGAAAATGAATTTTAGCTCTACACTGATCACCAGATTCAGCATTTGGATCTTGCCTACCAGTCAGTTGGTAAGTTTGAAGGAGAGGAGATATTTGGAATAAACAGAAGTACTTATCAAATCTGAATTTTTTAATTAAGGGATTTGCAAGTATAGGTTGGAAAAATGTCTTTTTAGCCATGACATGCACATTATTGACAGTTCCCCATTTTGTACATCTAGTTTCAATGCCCAGAAATAACTGTATGAAGGTTGGAATGAGATGATTTATAAGCTCCTTTCCAACCCAAACCTGGGTTGGAAAATCCCTGTTTATTGTGTGACCCGAGGGACCCTGAGGAGGTTGGTGAGCTGACACTTGGTGGTCCATGTCAGACCCAACTCCACTAAAGATGCTGCATTTTAATTTGTGGGAGCTTTGAGGAATTTTCAAGTTATTTTCCCTGGGTTTTGTGTCAAGCCTTCTGCTGCAATAATGGAATTTATTTGTCTCTTCTCACAGTCCCTTTGCCTTTTCAAGATCACTGCTAGGAAGAGAGACTTGGGCTTTGGTTTTCATTTCCACTAAAAACATTTGTTTTTAACCCAAGTGTGTTTAGGTGTCAATAAAAAGCTGCAATGGGGGTTATTGCAAAGCTTTGTCCTTCCCAGGGCTGGAGTCCCATCCCTGGAGGGATTTACCAGCCCTGTGGATGTGGCACTTGGGGACAGGGGTGGCCTTGGCAGTGCTGGGAGAACAGTTGGACTCAAAAGGTCTCAGGGGGCTTTTCCAACCCGAACAATCCCATGAGCATTCCCAGAACTCCCTGTGATTTTCCCCCCCAGAATGAAGAGGTCAGATTCATTGAGAGCCAGCTGGAGAACCACAAGCAGAAGTATTTTGAACTGCAGACGTTCACTCGGAGTTTGATACTGGCAATTAAATCAGATGATAAAGAACAGCAGCAGGTGAGCCCTGGGGTGGGTTTAATATCAGCTGTTTGTCATTAATATCAGAACATGTTTGTCCTCAATATCAGAAGGTGTTTGTCATTCTGTGTCCTGTCACTCCCTTGAGTTTATTCCACAGCTCAAATTATGACTGAAAAACCCAATGAAGTTTTTCGCTCTTTGTTTAAAAGATATTTGAATTTTGACATATAAAAAAAATTACACCTAATACTGTGTTGTCATGGTCTTTCCCTTCCAGGCACTGCTTTCAGACTTACCTCCTGAACTAGAAGAAATGGATTTCAACCACACCTCCCCAGAGCCTGATGATACCTCATTCAGCTTGTCCTCTTTGTCAGAGAAAAATGCCTCAGACAGTTTGTGATTTATTTTTTTTAACTGACAAACCAGAACCCCTCTGGGACATGCAGGTTTCAGGAGAAGGGCATTTTGCTCTCCAGTGTTTCCTCAGCCCAAAAAAAGCAAGTCCAAGGTGAAGGAGCCTGTCCTGAATGATGGCTGGGGCACAGCCCAGCTGCAGTTTGCACTGGCAAGGAATTTGCAATGGTGGTTTTGCTAAAGGAAAGAACTGGGTGAGAGAAGGTTTCACTTGTAGCAGTTTGGCCTTGGCTGGGAGAACTCCTGACTCTCCAGAGTAACTCTGGCTCTGTAGCAAAGTCTTTCTGAGCAGGGATTTCTGAGTGGAAAGCAAATCCTTCAGCCTCACGTGCTCACCAGGCCTGTTTATTATATTTTTCCCCATTTTTACTCAGGTAGGTGGACTAAAAATTGGGGTTCCAAATAAAATAACGGGCTTTCTCTGAGTTGTGCTTGAACCCTTTGGAAAACCTGAAATTAAACTAAAGCGTTTTTCGTTCTCTGACTTGAGATTGTTGAATCTTCCATTTTCTGACCAAAATAGCTGAAAAAACCTTGAAAGGCTAACTCAGAAAATTGAATTATCACCAGTAAATTATTAATGTGAAGAAGCAGTGCTAAGTGTTGGAAGAAATGAGATGGAAATGGGAGCCCTTTTACCTGCAGGGCATGACTTCCTGATACAGTAGCAATGGGATTGGATGTTTACATTCTTTAGGGTTTTATGATTGTAGTCACAGTTTTGATTTGTCAAAGCCTGAATGCTGAAGTTCTGCTTATTATTTTAAGTATGGGTTGTGTATTTTTCCACCAACTTTGCTCCATTTTACCAAGCCAGTCAGAATTCCAGAGCTGTCTTTTCATCCTGAAAGGTTTTCCAGCATTTGGAACTCCAGGATGATCCTGGGTGATGCTGTAGCTGCCTGCCCATGGCATTGATGCTCTAATTGGAATCTGAATCCCTCAGCAAGAATTTTTCACACAATCAGGTGAAAAAACTGATCTTTCCATTTTATGCCAAATAACAGTTGACTCTGGGGAATCCTTATTCATCCAGGACAGCAAGTAATCCCCTTAATTTCAGTGAGAGGTCCAAGGTGTAGCTCAGAGAATCCAGAGTGTTGGGGAAATAACTCCTTTTCCCCCCCCCAGTACTGCTGTTAACTCAGATTTTAGGGTTTTCTCAGTCTGATCTGTTCTTCCCTAATCACTTTTACAACTCTTTTTGTTTAGTGCCAGTAGTGAGCTCTGTTCTTTCAGGTTTTTTCAGGTTTTTTCTGTCTCTCTTGTCGTTGGGCATGAGGAGCTTTTAGCAATACTGTTAAATACCAGCTGCATAAAGGGTAGGGACAGTTTTAAAAGGTGTTTTAAAAACCAAGTTGCACAGTTCTGACCAGTGTATGATTCTGTTAGTTCCCAACAGACCTCTGACCACATACTCTGCAGAGCAACCCCAGAATTCCAAACTGCTGGGCCTGGATGTGAGTGGAGGCATTAAAACTGGGAGTGGGATCCCAGGAGAGAGGGAAGGCCCCGTGTGACCAGGAGGTGAGGGGTGGAATGTCCCATCCTGGCTGGCAGACACGTCCTTGTGGCCTCACCCCCAGGAGGAGCAGAGTTTGCCACACTGTGCAAGTGCCCCCAGTCTAAAATGAAGGTTTGTGAGCAGAGATCACAATGCTGTCCTTCCCATGGAAGACACAGCTCAGCTGGAATTCTGCTGGCTCTGAAAAAGCTCATTTATAAAGGGTTTTCTATCCCAGGCTGACAATGGTTTCTATTGCTGTCCTCTCCAGACAGGAAATCAGGGCCCCTGACAACGAAGCCTCTTGTTTTCTGTGTTCTAGTACTGTCATTTGCCACTGTTTGGACCCTGTTTTCCTGCTGCTTCTCTGAAATTCCCATGACAAAAGGCAGGATACTCTTAATGGGAGTTCTCGATTTCATGGTCAATTAAGTCATCCACCTTTCTGCAAGAAAAGCTCCCACTGATGATTCCTATTTTGCTGTCTTGTTTCTATTCCATCTCCAAACAAATGGAAGGAATGAATTTTGAATGAACTGCTGCAATTACGTCAGTCCCTTTGCTTTAGGAAGCTGGACTCCTCTTGGATGTTCAGCTGAAAGGAGCTGCAGTCAACACCCACCCATCCCTGGGGGAATGTTGTTCTTTGGTCCTTTCTCCTGTAGGGAGACACCAAAAACCCAACGAGGCAGTGGTGCTTCCACAGCTGAGACACCTGACAACTTCACAGGATATTCAGGCAGGAAGAGTGTGAATTATATCCCTGATAACAGAATGCTGTGGAGGAAAATACTGTACAGCTCTTTGGCTGTTTTTTTTTCACTATTAGTGCATATTTCCAAATTTTTAATGACATTTAAATTGCCATTAGTGGTATTTTAAGTGTTGATGGAAAGCAGTGGGGTGGCTCTGTGGGCCCTTGGCCTGGCAGGATTTGGGGTCTGTAGGACGATAATGAGAGCCCACATTAAGGGCTAATTTATCATTCCATAGACTTTCCATAACAAATAAAGCTTTTTAGGGTGACAGAAATCAGCCTCATTTCCATTTCAATGATTTGACTAATTTGAGTAACCTCTCCAGCAGAAGGGCCACGTGTGGATGTTTTACCACCCTGTGAAATCTCTCATTTCTTTGTCCATGAACAGTGACTTCCCCGGTGTGTTTATCCCTGGTGCATCCATGGGAACGTCAGTGCTGACGTGTGTGTGTCTGGAGCAGCCCAGGTGGGCAGAGGCAGCTCGGAACAGACGCTGGGCAGAGACAGGCCGGGCTCTCCTCGGGGAGCAGAGGCTTTGATGTGACAAGTTTGCTCCTGGTTCAAAACCTGTTTCCTGCAGCTCTGCCTCCTTCCCTTTCCCTGCTGCTGTCACATCTAGAGCCTGACAGGAGTGAGTAATAGTAAGTAACAGGTAAATTTGGGGCAGATTTAAGGTACCCAAGCAGCTGTACATACAAGTGTCAGTTCTCTGCGGTGCTCGGTCCTCAAGGTTTAATCTTTCCCAGGATTTCTTTTCACTAAGGCAATAAAAAGTCTGAGATAAGAAGCAGATCCTTGGCTTTGCAGCCCTTTGAGTGAGGGAAGGAATGTACTGGTTCTGTCTTCACCTTAAACTGGGAAGACCTTTACCAAGTCCATTCTCCAGACAGAGACAGCTGTGTCTGCTGTGCTCATCCAGGTGAACAGAACAAATCCACACCACCATGGGTATCCTGACTGTGGAAATAGGAATTACTGCAATTTTGACAAATGGATCCTCTTTCCCACTTGGGATCTCTTGCACTACTGTATTCCTGACATTGAGAACAAACTCCTGCACATTACTGACCTTCCCTCAGTGCTCCAGGCAGAGCCAACTGTCGGTCTCAGGGTCCTGGGAGTGTAAGGGAGGATAACAATGTGGAAGGAAGGACAGTAATATGGAAAGAAGGACAATAATATGGAAGGAAGGACAATAATATGCATTAAGGGAATAGCACAGCATACCTGAAACAGGAAGAATCCATACCTTGTTCCAACCCAAAGCTTGCTGTCCTCCCTCCAGCCCCTGCCCCGCTCCCCCAGGCTGCTCTGAAGGACTGGCACCACTGGCAGGGCCAAATCCTGCCTTTTCTGTCCCAAATCATCACAAGTGAGTGAGTTGTTTGGTTGTGAGGTCCCTGAGCAAAGCTAGGGGCTGGTCAGTGAGAAAACTCCATCTGGTTCCCACAGAAAACAAGCTGGTTTGTGGTGGATGATTTCCCTACTCCAGTAAATTTTAGCCCATTGGCCAAATGGGAAATCTGAAAAGTTATGAGCAAAAAAAAAAAAGGATAAGCAATGCTACAAAGTTAGTGTTTTCCATGGCACAGTAGGGTTTTAGTCTGAATATTCATTTCTCTAAAAAGCAGCAGCTGCTTTGGTCAGAAGACAGATGGGACAGAACCTTGGGCTTGTGGTGGTGGTTCTTTTTCAACAAATGAGCAAACCCTCTTGGATAAAAGAGGTGCTTAAGAATGTTCCTGTAAGGAAAACAGGGCTGTGCTTTGGTTCTGGGAACATTTTCCTGTGTTACTGAAGGAAGTCAGTAATTCTTTTCCAGCTCTGTATTACATTTTACACACACTACCTCTGACACCACCCTTGAACCCACACAGAAAATGTGAACTTAAGCTTTTTTTTTTAACCTTTTCTAGGCAATAAATTATTTCCAACATGCATCCTTCGGTTCTCTGCTTGGTTTTAGTTGAGTGTGAGACATTCACTTGGTTTATTTTAGTGCTGTTTTTCTGTATTTGTCTTAAACACAATCTATGGACAAGAAAATACTGAAGGTGGGATATTAGGGAGAAAAGATCAGCAGATGTTAAGCAAGTGTTCAGCAAAAATGAATCAGTAGCAGGCTAAATGTAGATTTAGACCATGTTTGTAGTTAAGTTTCATCTTAAAAGAGTCCTTTTGATCTTCCCCCTCACATTTATCTCCCAGAAATAGTAGGGGAAGGTTGTCAGGATGGACGAGGGATGGGAGGGGATGAGGCACGAGGAGGCAGAAATGAAGGGCCTGGGGTTTAGGCAAGAAAATTGAAGTAAACTAGAAAATTTAAACTAAAGCTTCTGCTTTAGCTGCAAATTCTGTGAATTACAGCTCAAAAAGTCATGGGCAAATCCACTGAGTTGTGTTGGGGGAAAATTGTCTTCTCCAATGGGAATTTTATAATTTCTGTGGTTATTTCTGGAATTACTGAGTGTATGTGGATACACTGATGCAGATTTATCATGTGCACAGATATACTGAACTTGATCATATTAACATCTACAAAGGTATTTTAACTTGAAATATTAATGTGATTCTTCTAAAATATATTTGATTTGCTCTTATTTTTATGTCTTACTATGTATGGATGACATAGTTCTGAAAAATCAGTCAAATACATCCATGAAAATGTGGTTTATTGTTCATCTCCTTTAAAATCAGTAACTTTTAGGCTTGGAAATTTATGAAAATGCCCATAATAATGACATTTATAAGTGAACTTGGCAAATAAACAAACTGCTGTATTTATGAAGAGATAATGAATCTTCTGCCATGACAATTCCTGCTTTATTTTCACTTATAGGTATCAGTTTGATTTTTTTTAAAAACCAACTATTCTGAAAGTTTAAATATTATTGTAAAACTTGGATGTTTTCCTTAGCCTACAAAACAATTGATGATTTTAAAACTTCTGTCATTTCTTTCTGGGCCAATCCCTTAAGCTTTGTGTATTCCTGAGTTTCTCTGTGAAAATCTCTATTTATATTGCATTTTTATGATTTGTATCAGTATGTGTAGCAAAGAAACTACTACAAACCTTCAACTGAAGTACCTCCACTATGGTCCAGGACACCAGATCTGGGTGTTTGAGTGCTGGATGCCCAGAGAAGGGGTCCAGATGTTTGTATTGCTTTGGGTTCTGTGTAAATAAGGGTATTTATAATCTTGGATTCCCAGAGTCACCATGAGAAATGCTTCTTTCCTGCTTTAGGAGCCTGCTCAGCTATTTTTATATAAAAACGTTGGTCTTCGCCTTAATTTTTTTTGGTGAAAAGTTGTGCCATAGATATTTTAACTTATCCACAGATACTTTACAGAGTTTGCTTTGACTTCTCTTTACTTAATTATTTTTTCCTCCGATTGTTTGAAGGATTGTTTGAATCCTCCAAATGCATCTCAAGGTTTGTTTGCTTTCTTACTTTTATTTTTGTTTTTTTTTTCAAGTTTTGGAGGATCCTTTCATCTGCATGCTTTGGTAGGTCGAGTTTTTCCTCTGTAGTTTATTGTTTATAGTTTAGACAAACCTTTTCTTGAACAAAAAGCCTGAAGTAATGCTTGTACAAATGTATTTAGGGTGGCCCAGATGGTCAGAGAAAAGGGCTATTTAGCGTTGGCAAATTTGTCTACCAGACTCAAGGATATTTTTCTACGTCTGTCAAGTTTGGGACTATGGAGAAATGAAATAAAGGTGAACTAACTCCTTTTCCTATATGAACTTCTCTGTTTCTGTTGTTTTTGTGGCCTTGGAAATGTTCAGTTCTGTTCAGAGCAGCAACAATGAAATCCCCATCGGGGCTCGGGGCCGCCACGTTCCACTTCCCCAATTCTTTAGTTTCCACCAGATAAATTAATTAGTTATTTATGAAGAGAGTTTTCAGGATTATAAACAGAATTTTGTGCAGACCTTGGAGCCCTCTGTCCTGGGGACACTGAAATGTTCTCCCTTCCCATGGCAGGAATTTGTGTCTAATGAAGCCAATGCACCCCCAGCACTGAGAGCTCAGGTGAACCTTTAATGCTGAAGGGGTTTGAGCTGTGGTTTTTTTTTTTTGTTTGGGGTTTTTTTTTAAGCTGTTTTAAAGCTAAATATGGGCTCTCTATGCTGCTGTTACCATGAGACCATTTCTTATCAGCACCTTGAAAGTCTGCAGAGCTCAATCCCGTGACCTCTGCCCTCAGCCACGATCCCTGTGCTTTGACACAAGGATGGAAACTGGGAAAAATTGTGAGCGTTGATGGCTCTTGGCTTTTGGAGCACTTTGGTGCTGAAAATAAGAGCCCAGGTGTCCTGGAGAGCTCCCAGCTCGGCCCCACGGCCGAGGGATGGGATTTAAACTTCATTTGGAACCAGGAATAGCGAAAAAGAGCTGCAGGAGACCCCCGTGAAAGGGCCTTGGTGCCTGGGTGATGCCCCCGCACAGGCACATCCCGGGATGGTGTCGGACAGGGATACACGAGCCATTCCCTGGTTTTCCAGGCTGCCTTTATTGGCAGAGGCTGGCAGAGGGCAGTGTGGCCGCATCCATCGGGATCCCACCGGCACAGGCTCCCTGGACCTGCCCTTACACTGCGGGTTTGCACCGACCGGAGGAATAAAACTCCCGACGCTCTGGAATCCCCCCCCAGCTCGGAGCTCCGACCCCATCCCGCTCCTGGATTACGGCTGCAGAGGGGGAGCCCGGAAAAACAGAGGGAGAAACAGATGACTGGAGAGGAGTTAAAGCAGTCTGACCCCAAAGATTTATTATCCACAGATAACGCCCGCGTGCCCCCGAACCGGGATGTTTTGGGAAAGCCCACCCCGAGCGGGGCGGTGGCTGCAGCTCCATTGCCACCTGGTGGCAAAAAAACCCCAGGGATTGGGGAAAAATGCCTTGTGAACTGTCCCCACGCTTCGTGTTTCGGAATGAGCGGCTATTTTTATCTCGATGGAAAATAACCGTAATATTAAAATAGATCTGGCATTTAGTGACGAGGAAGCCTGGATGTGCAGCCGTAAGCTGGGAGCGTATTCCAGTTGGGGTTCCCCACAGGGATTTAGGTCTGGGGGCACCAAAGCTGCGCCATGAGATGAGGGGACGTGTGACAAGCAGGGACAGCCGGGGTGGCCACTCCGTCTCCGTGGTCCTGGTGCAGGGGCTGAGGGAAAGGGCCATGGAGGGAAAATGAAACAGAACAAAAAGGTGTTTTCCGGTTATTTATTTGTCCGTGTTATTTTAGTGGGGAAGGAAGGCAGAGGAAAGGGCAGGAAAATTGAAAAATTTCAGACTTTATCTACTGCATTATCTTGCTTTTTGGTTATTTCTCACCGGAAATCTGGAATAATCTTAGACTAGGTAGAGTTTTTCGCTAGAAAAAGCTCATTCTATTTATTTTTTTTTTTTTGAAAGAAAAATTCTCCCCAGCCTCAATCTTCTTTTGACAGTCTCCTCCTCTTTTCTGTGAACTTTTCAATTAATGATCTGTTACCTCCCTCTTGGGAAGGTTTTGGGCACAGGAGACCCCTCCCTGTGGTGAAGGGCAGAGGGAAGGATCGTGTCCCAGTGTCTCCTGCTGTGAAATCCTTCCCCAGCAGCACCTTTTCTCCCTCTGGCTGGTTTCCAGCTGCTTCCAGGGCTCCCTCCTGGGAAGGACAGAGAGGTGGGAGCAAGGCCAGTGGGGGAAAAGGTGGTGGAGGCTCAGAGGAAAGGGAATTTCGATTCAATATAGGAAAGGAAGGAGACATGGAGCAAAGTGGAAAGATGAGCAAGGTGGTGAGAGGAGGTGGAGATCAAGGGAGGGGGGAGAAGAACAAAACCCTCATGGAAGTGCTTGGAACAGAGGGGACTTGGAAGTGAATGACAAAGAGGTACAACCCCCTAAAGGATGGAGAGAAACAGTACCAGGAGAGCAGGAGGGCCCATTTTGGGAAGGTCAAGTCCTTGGAATGGCACCTGGGAGCAGACACTCACCTGAGGAAGGTTTATTAGCATGGGTTTAATGTTCTGTTAACAATTCTCCTCTGGAACAGTTGCCAACCCATTGCAACTAAAGTCCCTTAGACCTTGACTCCAATAATAGTAAGTAGATGCCTCACTGTGATCCGAACTATAAACAGATTTTATGAATTCTGCCAGAAATTTAATATTGAATTATTTCTTCATGCCCACATGTCTTTCCTGGTTTGCTTAATTCTGCCAAATATTTAGCTCAGCCATCTCTTCTCTCAGCAACCCACACTCTCCTGGCTACATCAGCCCATTTTTGGACTATTATTTAAAATTTCAGTATTTTCACAGAGCCTGGCCAAAGAACCAAAGCTGTTCTGAGAGATGAAACAACTGAAGGTGTTCAGCTCTGGTTTGGGGATCAGGTTGTTCACTCCTCATGTGACACCTGCACAGCCAAGCAGAGGGTTTGACCCAACCCAGTGGCGCTGGCACAGACTCCCTGGTTTAGCCCTTTTTTGGGGAAGAATTCCCCTGTAATGTGCCTTTCACCTCCCTGTTGAACTCAGGGCCACGGGAAAAGAATGGACACATTTTTGCATGTTCAGGAATACATGATTTCCTAAGTTTCCTTTCTTTAAAATATTAATTTATCTATTTTTTCTCATATAAACCTTGAGTTCTTGTCTGAAAATGCCATTTATTGCTGCCATTGGGGGCTGTGAGTTCACTCAACACCTGCCATGGTCTGTGTCCTCATTCCTCTTCAAGAACCAGGATACACGCAATGATTTCTCCCTGAGCGACGGGTAGAAAATATTGAGGAAAGAAGCTCTGCTCAGAAATCAGCTGAAAACCACCCCAGTGTTGTGCAAACCTTCCCAGTGAAGAGTCACATCACCTTTGTATATTATGGTTCATGTTGGTCCCCCCTTTTAAACCAGCTTTCAGCTGAAGGAGCCAAGGTGACACATCAAACTGTCCACTGCCTGCTCTGTGTCCTGGTGTGTCCTCCACGTTCCCCACCGTGCCCCCAGCCCGGGGACAGGGACAGGGATGGGGACAGGGAGGGCTGGCATCACTGGCTGCTCGCTGCTCCCACGCTCAGGAGATGTGTTGATTCACTCTGTAATTGATTTGGGCAACTCGAGGCAATCGGTTTCCAAGATACCACATCCCTCAGATATTTAAAACCATAACTCTGGCAGTATATTATATTTAAATGTCGATGTATAATGTGTGTGTGTGTGTATATATATATGTATACACAGATGGGGCTCTGTGTGAATCAGGGCAGGGTGTGTGGCTGGAGCTCTGTGGGGCTGGGCCAGTGGGGGCCCCTCTGGGTCCCCCCAAAATCAATAACCCAGCTCAGCCTCAGAGGTTCTGTCAGCTCTGCTGGGGTTTCAGTGCAACTCCAATTAACAGCCAAGTTACTAAAGAGTGATTTCAGGTTTTCCTTCACAGCCTGGGGCTGGTGATGGGGTCCAGCCAGTTGAGGGACATTTTGTTTGCTGTTCCTGCCATTCCTCACTGTCACCTCCTCACCTCCATGCTGGGATTGTCTCTCGTAGGGATCACTGCCTTCAGTGGTGAACCTTGTCTTCTTGGATAAAGGAAATTGGAAATTTCCACAGAAGAGAGAGGAAACTCTGCTGTGATCTCCCTCTGGCTTTCCAACAAAAAAAAAAATCCCTGTAAATATTGGTTACATTGGGTGAATATTATGAGACCTGGGGCTGCGCACACACACCTTGTGAGCTCGGTTTTCAACGAATGGAAAGAAAACTCGTGTAACACAGAAGAAGCCTTGAAGCAGCAGGAGAGGCAGGAATAATTCAGGAGCTGGATGGGGATAGGGACATGTGGGTCACCCCATCCTGGACTGGCTCTGCTGAGCAGGAACGACAGGAAGTGCCCAAAGAAGCCGAATTTCACTTAAGAATTAGACTTGATGACCCCGGTGAGTCCCTTCCAACTCATGGTATCCTGTGATTCTGTGATTCTGAATTCCCAAACTCCCTTCTTTGGGCTTCTGGAGCAAGAGGAACACACCTAAATCCTGAGGCCTGCATGAGCCAAACTCGGGCAATGCCTTGTTTTGAGGCCAAGACAAGCTGTAAAATACATTAAGAGCGGAATTGAAACAAAGGTTTGGGTTTGTGTCCTCCAGGGTTTGTCACCACCATGATCTGGGTTTAAAGTGGGGATCCAGGGTCACACAGGTGGTGATCAGTCACAGCTTGGTCTCGATGATCTCCAGCCTAAATGATTCTGTGAAATCTTCCTTTCATCCATCCCTTGGGGATGGCAACAGCAGGAGACCACGGAAGGTGAGGGAGCAGGACCACAGCAGCCTGAAACTGCAGCTAATAAAGGTTAAATTGAGAGACAAAGGGTAACCTGAGAGAGAAAGGTAAACTGGGAAAGCAAGGACAAGGCTGTGAGACAGGGCTGGGAATGCTCCAGGTGCCAGATGTGGATAGAGATCCTGGGGGAGAGAGGAAGAGCGGCAGGAATGGGACCATCCCACAGGAACCTGCTGTTCCAGGGGGGCCCGATCCTGGCAGACCACCCAGAAACAGGGTGGGAGCAGCACCCGAAGGTGAGGGTGTCATCTGGGGCCACTCTGACTGTGCTTGGCCCGAGTTCAGCAGGAACAGCTCCCGGGAAGGGCCTGGAGCGGGATGTGTGAGCAGGAGCTGCCTGTGGGTGGAGCAGTGGGCTGGGATGACGGTGGATTTTTGGCTCGATAAGGAAAAAATAAAACCCAACCTTTTTTTGTTTG